AGTTAAAAGTTTGGGGTCGTTTTGTACAAAAATATTGTGAGTAAATGAACCATTTATTTTTATTGAATTCGGCAAAAATATATTTTAGGGTAGATGGTTTTTAGGTGTCACCAGGTCCCTCGGTCCCTCGGTCCCTCGGTTAAACGAACTTCTCTGAAAAAATGAGACAACATGACATTTAGACAACAACACAGGAAATAAACTTCTTCGTATATGTTTTGTCAAGACTTCTTCGTATTCTTTCACCCGTTGAATTTTGTATAAAAAGCAACCGCCGGAATTCCGGCGGTTGGTATATTCTTCACAAAATGCTTGTTTTGTCATGACTTCATCGTATATGTTTTGAAGAACTGAAGGTGTCACCAGGTCCCTCGGTCCCTCGGTCCCTCGGTCATTTTAACTTCTCTGAAAAAGTGTGACAACATGACATTTTGACAACAGTCCAGGAAATAAACTTCTTCTTCGTAAATGTTTTGTCATGACTTCTTCGTAAATGTTTTGTCAAGACTTCATCGTATATGTTTTGTCAAGGTTTCATCGTATATGTTTTGTCAAGGTTTCATCGTAAATGTTTTGTCAAGACTTCTTCATCGTATATGTTTTGTCAAGGTTTCATCGTAAATGTTTTGTCAAGACTTCTTCATCGTAAATGTTTTGTCATGACTTCTTCATCGTAATGAGCGTAAAGGACCCAAAAATAAAGTTTAGGTGAAGAGGTGCGATCTCACCTCCTTTTTCACCTGTTTTTTCACCTGTTGAATTTTCATGACTTCTTCATCGTATATGTTTTGTCATGACTTCATCGTACATGTTTTGTCAAGACTTCATCGTATATGTTTTGTCAAGACTTCATCGTACATGTTTTGTCATGACTTCATCGTATATGTTTTGTCACCCGTTGAATTTTGTATAAAAAGCAACCGCCGGAATTCCGGCGGTTGGTATATTCTTCACAAAATGCTTGTTTTGAGGTCGAGCCACTTTTGGCTCCACCGTATTTTTCAACCAAAACTCATGAATTTTCCCGAAATAAAAAATAAAGTTAGTTTTTTTAAAAAAATATTTTTTATTTTTATTGTAAGAACATGTTAGCAACAACAGCACCAAACTCGTTAGTCATGAACCCAACATCTATGTTAGTAGAGATGAAAAGCTTCATTCCTTCTTCATATACTTTCGAAACAGAAATCCAGAAGATAAAGCAGGAACTTCTCCAAGGAGATTTAGATTGCACTGCAAAAGATGAAACAAATGAAGAATATCTTTATGAAATGCAGGATATTATTGACCATCTACCTAAACTTCCTGAAATACAACAACAAAAGCTCACTATTCCTGAATTCGATGAAATAGAAGTCAGACCAACCGACTCAGTAGAAATAAAGAAGTTCATACGTAATGTAAACTATGAGTTTCTAGGATTTCATTGCAACCACAAAGTCATGGACAAAGACTGCGATATGGTATATAAGAACATCTCTGACATATATAAATCTGGGGAGTTTAAGACCTACGACAACTTTGTTTCGTTAGTTGCTGAATGTGTATGGCAGATAAGAGATAAAGATAGAAGAGGTAAGGTATGGAACGAACAAATAAAACCCGCAACTTTTGAGTTAAAGAAAACCATTGACGCTATAGTTGTACTTGCAGGTCAAATTTCAATGTACAATGCTAAAATGAACCCACAATGTTCTAAATGTAAAGCAGCAATGAGGAAATATAACTACTCCGTCAAAGAGATAGAACGTATGAGAAACGACTATGCAGACTTAAAGAAAGAAGCAGAGAAACCAGCAGAAGATAAAATGGGCATGTTGACATTTCTAAACAAAAACTATCCAACTGCTGACGATTTCCTTCTTTCAGATGTCAAGAAGAAATATAAAGATACATTCAATATTGTGAAAACTTTTGACATACTGACAGAAGAAATAGAAGCTACAAAACTGTTTAGAATTTCAAATATACATCGTACAATTCATGTAAAACGCTTGTGAAAAAAACAGGTGAAAAAACAGGTGAGATCGCACCTCTTCACCTAAAATATATTTTTGCTGAGTAAAATGACCAAATTTCATTATATAACTGTTATTTTTTTACGAAGAGAACTTTGACACTTCGTCAAAAAAATCCCTGAAATCATATCTTTTATACAAAATTCAAGAGGTGAAAAAACAGGTGAAAAAGGAGGTGAGATCGCACCTCTTCACCTAAAATATATTTTTGTCTGATTTACGCTCATGTTTGACAAAACATTTACACTCATTTCGATGAAATCATGACAAAACATATACGAAGAAGTTTATTTCCTGTGTTGTTGTCAAAATGTCATGTTGTCACCATTTTCAAAAAGATGTTAGTTGACCGAGGGACCGAGGGACCGAGGGACCTGGTGACACCTAAAATATATTTTTGCTGAAAAAATGACCAAATTTCATTATATAACTGTTATTTTTTGACGAAGAGAACTTTTGCACTTCGTAAAAAAAATCCCTGAAAATCGTAAAAAAATGACCAAATTTCATGATATAACTGTATTTTTTTTACGAAGAGAACTTTTGCACTTCGTCAAAAAAATCCCTGAAATCGTGAAAAAATGACCAAATTTCATGATATAACTGTATTTTTTTTACGAAGAGAACTTTTGCACTTCGTCAAAAAAATCCCTGAAATCATATCTTTTATACAAGATAGAAAATCTTACTCGCCTAAAACTCATGAAAATCGTAAAAAAATGCGAGTAGTAAAAAAAACCCACTCGCCTAAAACTCATGAAAATCGTGAAAAAATGACCAAATTTCATTATATAACTGTTATTTTTGACGAAGAGAACTTTTGCACTTCGTTTAAAATACACTATTTTTGTGTTATTTTTGACGAAGAGAACTTTTGCACTTCGTTTAAAATACACTATTTTTGTGTTATTTTTGACGAAGAGAACTTTTGCACTTCGTAAAAAAAATCCCTGAAATCATATCTTTTATACAAGATAGAAAAAATAAAGTTAGTTTTTTAAAAAAAATTTTTTTTATTTTGTATGTAAGAAACAGAAAATGACAAACATTGAGTTTGAAACAGTTAGAAAGATAGACAATGACACCAAAATGGTTAGAATAGGTGATTTAAACGTAAGATACTCAAAGAAATACAACAAATATTCTTTGTCAGACATTCTAACACTATCTGGAAAGAAAACATCCCACGACTGGGTTAGAACTGCTTCTACTCAGAAAATTTTGACAAGAAATCCTGAGCTTATGATATCGGTAAGATTCTATGGAACTGCAGCATATCTCATCGACAAAAGTCTTATACCAATAGTTTTGTTATGGTTAGACCCAGTTGTTGGATATAACTTCATAACATATGGTTCATTCGATACGGAACGTTGCAGTGAAGGCTTACTTTACATCGTTCAGAAACCGAAGGACTTCAATACAAAGAGATATAAGATAGGAAGAACATATAATATAACTAAAAGATATGACAGTATAGTCAATAGAGTTAAGGTTGTGTTCGTTAACGATATGAGAGCTGCAGAAACAGAACTACTTGAAAAGTTTGAGAAAATGTATGGTGCTCCCATAAAAGGTAAAGAAACGTTTGAAGTAGATGAGATAGGTAAAGCTATAAAATTATTTGACGAAGTTGCTGAAAAATACATGTAAAGCGTTTATTTTTGGTCTTTTGTGAAAGTCAGGAAATAACGCTAATTTTTAAAAAAATATTTTTTTTATTTTGTATGTAAGGACAGATATGACAACAACAGAGAACACAACAACTGCTATCGTCCATGAAGACATAAATGAAGAATATGAGTACATACAATATAACAAACAGTTACGTCTCATTCGTTCGGTCAAAGACGACATGTACCAAATGCAAAGTATTTTGACAGCATGTTTTGCACCAGATACTAAGAAACCACAAGACTGGTTTGAATTAAATAGCACTCATGAACTCCTCAGTGAGTTTGAACATGTAGAACTTAAAAAGATGTACCAAGACAGACAAAACTTACCATCACATCTAAAAGGTATATATGTTCATAAGTTCCTAGTTAGTTCAATAGCAATGTGGGCTTCACCTCGTTATGCAATCTACATACTTATGCTACTTGACGAACTTTGTACAAAGCAGAGAGAAGATATGATGAAAGAAGACAAAAACATACAGAAAAGAATACCACGTTCGGTACCAAAAGGAAAGGAAAAGAACTATAAGTATATGATTTATACTGAAGAGATGGAAAATGAAGAAGACAGAGATATGGTTATGTTGCATTTAGTCAGAAGAAACAACAAAAGCTTTTACGACCTTGCTAAGATTTACAAATCTGACAGAAATTGGTTCTATCGCGAAAACTTACCGATTTCAATGACACCAAATGAAGATGTGAAACAAATAGTTCAAGATACGTTACCTCAAACACACTATGATATTAAAGGTTGTACAATACTTACCTTCAAAGAAGATTTGCCGCTACTGAAAGAAAAAATAACAGAGTATTTTGACAACTTTAAACAAGCAGAGTAAATGAACCATTTATTTTTACGCTTGACTTCAGATGGCTCAGGTAGCTCTATAAGGTAAATTGTCTTGTCAAATCCTTCTGGCATTCCAAGTTCTTCCTTCCGACATTCCAAGTTCTTCCATCCGACATTCCAAGTTCTTCCTTCCAACAGGGAAAAAATTTCCTTCAGACAGGAAAAAAATTTCCTTCAGACAGGAAAAAAATTTCCTGTTGTTCGTCCGTAAACCATTCAAATTTTCGAAAATTGAGAACTTTTTGGTCGAACGACAGAAAAAATTTTTCCTTCAGACAGGAAAAAAATTTTCCTTCCAACAGGAAGAACTCTTCCTTCCGACAGAAAAAGTTCTTCCTTCCGACAGGACACAAACGAATGTCCGACGTACCACCAACCGAGTCCATTCCAAAGCCAGAAGAACCGACAGCCCCAGCACCACAACAGACTAAGACTAAACACTTAGATTTTTCAAGCTTGACTTTTTACAATTTGAACTTTGTTTGCGTAGATATGAATTCTGAAAGAAGTATGAGGGTCTTGTATGACTTTGTACTTCTCCCATAGTTCATGTCTGTCAAACTTACCTGCCATGGACTCTTTCATAAGTTCCATGAAATCGTCTTCGGACAATCCGGGGAAAAGTACAATGTCAGTAAGTATTCTCTTTACATCCTTACTTAAACTCTTGGCTGTCTGTACACAAATGACAACTGAGATGTTAAAGTGTCTGAGCTTCTTAAGAATTCGACACATGTCTTGTTCTCTGTTCTTTAACAAAGGATGAGAGGCGAAATCATCTAAGATAAGAAGACATCTGTGAGGGTATGTCTTCCAATCGTAAGATTGCAATTTCTTCGAAATGTATTCTATCTCTTTCTGTTTGTTTCTGAAGTGTTTCTTCTCTAATATTCTCTGCATTTCCTCATTTGGGTCTTTAAACTTCGAATTTATATACTCATTTATAGCATTATACTTCAAACTCTTCTTTGGTACTTCTTTATCCAATCTAACAACTCAGAGTCTTTTATACATACTAACTTAGACTTTTTATAATATCTTTGAACGAATTGACGGTTTGGTCAAAATTGACCAGAAGTACTACAAATAACAACTAACTCATAGAATGGGTTCTTCTCATCTAGTTCTTGTTGTTGTGCAGCATTTTAAGATAAGTGAAAGTCTTACCCGACCCAGGTGGTGCAATTAGACCTGTTATACCATTCTGAGCAAATAAGAACTTGTCATGTATGGGTTTTTATCTGAGCATTTTCCAACTTCCTCTTGTTCTTGTTTAAAACATTCTCAAATTTTTGTCAATGTCAGCAAACTTTTTTCTAACATATTTTTTAGAAAAATTAAAATTTTTATCTTTTAGAAAATGTCTAGCGATTTCGCTATCTATATTCGAGACAAGCTTTTCGACAGCAAAACATCTGTCGACCATAAAATCTTACATAGTGTAAACAAGAAAGGTGAATTTGTTCTAAAGTTCTGTTTCTGGGAATATGACAAGAACCAAAAACATTAAGCAGAGAAGTCTTAAAATTTGTCAATGACAGACTTGTTGACAGAGATGACGCCTCTTGGAGAGATGAAGTCCAACAAAACTTCTTAGAATGCAAAAGAAACAATGCACTGTTCTTGAAGATGAAATAGAAAACAGAATAGAAGAGCTATTAAAGGACAAAGAACTTTTACAAAAATATGGTTCTGAGAAGTTTGACATAACTCCACCAGAAAAGAAGAGAGAGAAAAGAAAGAAAAGAAAGTAGAAGAAGAGAAGAAAGAACCTGAACCAGAGAAGAAGAAATTTGACATGTAAAAATAAATTTTATTTTTAGAACATTTCTGGGTCAATGTCAATGTTCTCTTCCTCTTTAGGAGCAAACACTGGCTTAGACTCTAAAATCTTTTTACCCAATTTACCTTGAACTTCTACAACTTTAGACTCATAATATTCATAGTCGTCTGCTTTCTTTGGTTCATAAGGTATAACAAGTTTGTATGCTTTACCTTCTTCGAGTTTTGAGAACCTTCTGTCAAAACTTTCTTTGACTGCTAACAAACCTTCTATGTCTAAGTCTTCAAATTTCGCACCGTTTTTAGTCACAATAGCAAACTTAACTGGTTCGATTCCAAACTTTGCTGAATGAAGACTTTTCAAAATGGTAGAAGTAAACATTCAAATATGTGAATGGGTCTAGTTCTTCTTTAAGTCCTGACATGTACTTGTTTACTGAGATGAATTTTGTCATCTTTCTATCGGATAAAAAATATTTTTTTTTTAAAATTTACTCAGAAAAATTTTTCTTTGTATATACACCATTCTGTACGTCTAAAAGACTTTTGACATTTGCCAAGAATGTTCGTTTAGACGCTGTCATATAACCATACTCTTGACAATATTGTTTATACGAATCGTACAATGACCTTTCATCTAAACACTCAAAGTCAGTTTCATCTATGAACAGTTCATATACACTCTTGTTTGCTTCTAACAATGTTTGTCTCTCTTCGGTATGTGGAATTTGTCTTGGATTGAACTTTGAAATATCTAATGTCATAAAATATGAGAACAAGTGGTTGTAAAAGTCAGATGTCAAAGTTTCTGCTAAGTCGTCAAAATATTCTGTATCTTGCATATGAGAATCTGACGTTCTGACAACTACATATCTTCTGTCAGAACTTTCTAACTTCATCGGAACAACATTGTTTGAAACCATAACGAAGTTTGCAACATTTTCACAAACTCTTTGGTCTTTATATTTTCTTTCAACAACTCCAACTTTGTCTGTTATAAGACTCTTCAAAGCATCTGAGTTCAAAACTTTTGTTGTATCTATACTTTGAAGTTCGTTACATACTATAAGTTTCATATTCTCTATTGAAGAGTTAAATTTACCGCAGATGTTTCTAAGTTTGTCATATTAGGGTTCGAATAGCCCTCTAACAGTTTGCACAAAATATCTGTAAAGAATGTGTTCTTACCTGTTCCTTGTTTTCCAATTATAATGAGAGCAGTTTCATTTTTAGCACTTGGATGTTGTAAGATGTTTGCAAACCAACATAAGATATACTCATAAACCTTTTCGTTTCCATTGCATATAATTTCTTTGACATGGTCTAACCAAGCTTCTATAATATTTTCTTTCCATTCTACTTGTTCATATTTATATCCAGTGAAGATAGAATAGAAGTTTGGAGAAGGTGTATAAAACTTTATACCACGAACTGAAAAATCTTCTAACTTTGACAATAAGATATCCCAAGCATCTAACATCTTCATGCCAACTTGTACGACTTTTATTTTCTTAAGTTTCTGTTTACATTCTTGTTCTGAAACTATTGTTGCTCTTGGTTTGTTAAAGACTACATCCCATTCTTTCATAACATAACATTCTGGGGCAGAGTCGACATAAATGACTAAACGTTTCAAATTCTCGACTGCTTTGTTATAGTCTCTAAATGGACACATATTTCTGAATGCTTGGAAGTCATAAAAATCTGAAACATCTATTCTGTACATTTTTATAAAAATAAAAAAAATATTTTTTTTATTCTTGACTTTGTTGTTCTTGAGCTATTTGTTGTTCTTGAGCTATTTGTTGTTCTTGAGCTATTTGTTGTTGAAGTTGTTCTTGTAATACAATACTTTCACCAGTTGCATCTTCCAATTCGAAACTTTCTGCCGTCATTGACAAATACATAGGACATAAAAGTTTTACAGGAACAAAGTTTGCGTCAACTAAGGTTAAGTTTATGTTTGCTAAAGTGTTTGAGTTTACTAAAGCTGAAAACTCTGCATTCGAATGAACAATAGGCAAACCAGCAGAGAAAGTGTTGTTTATACGCATAAGTATCTTTTGGTCATAGTAGTTTCTGTCGACATTCGAATAACACTTTGAACCTAAGTTTGAAACAATATATAAAATAGGTGTACTTAAAGTCAATGGAACAGACATTCCTTGTATGACACCTTTTCCTGTTATAGGAAACTGTTGGTAGTAAAAACCAGATATAAGTTTTGTATTATAGCTCATATTGTTTATAGTAAACTCAGTCGGACATCCAAACATAATGAAACCTGCTCTAGTTGCAGCACATGTTACACCCGTACTTAAAGTATTAAATAAGTCAACAAAACCTGTTGGTGGTATATCTGAGTAAGTATCTTCAAAGGAGTATTTTTTACCATTCACAACAATAAAATCTTCTGGTGTCAAAAGAGCAAAACAAGCTTTAGTCGTCATTGTGTTTAAAGTTAGTTTACAATATCGTCCTTGAGGACTTTGTAAGTTTGTTGTTATAGAATTATATGACTCAGGGTTTTTAGTCGTAATAGTATAAACCATTGTGTCTTCTGCCATTTACTTAGCAAATAAACTTTAATGAAATGTTGTGGTCGTCAAATATTTTTATAACGTCTGGGAAACTATATTTTAAGTTCAACGTTTCACCTCCTTTCATAACGTATATCTTGTCAATGACATTATATGAAACACCACAGCAACTAACGTCGGGTTCTATTTCTTTGATGTTTATATCGTCTGCCTCTGTCAAAAGTTTCAATAGTTCTTTCAAAACTTCATGAGGTGCAATGACATATGAGTTCACTTTTACAGGGTTGTGTTCGACCAAGTTTAACATTATACCTAAAGCTTGACAAATCTTCTCCTGAGTTTGAAGTTTGTCTTTCAGTTGTTGGTAGTCATTTCGAATATCTGCAACAGAACTTAAGTCTCTGCTAACTTCAGGATATGTTGGTTCTTTTACAGGAACTATTGTTATACCATCTTCGTCTTCGTATGGTTTCCCCACTTCAACATCTCTTTCTTTGACATTGACAATAACACTTTGACTGTTTGTTTGAGTTGGTGAATTTAACTTCACATCTGCCACCGCCATTAAACCTTTTGAAACACTTACGCTTCTATTTTTCGGAAATGACATTTTACTTCGAATAAAAATATGGACGTATTCGGATATCTCTTCGAATTGAAGCAGAACAAAGTTTACACACACAAACAATACAAATACATTGACAGAATAGTTCTTTATACAAACAATGGAAAATGTTATAGAATAGCAGTCTTTGCTGAACCAAAATATTTTCATAAAGCAAAGAAAGTTGGTATAACTGAAATGGTGAAAGTTCTTGAAGCAGACAAAAATATAACAACAAAACTTACAGATATTTCTAAAGGTAAGTTTATAATACAATTTTATGTCAAAACTGGCGTACTGTCAATATTTGACGGAGAGAAGTCAGTTCAAGAACAACTTACTGACCTGCTGCCAAAATCTGCTCGATGGAAGCTGTCGTTATGCCAATCTGAGGAGCCCCAGCAGGTTTCATCGAACGAATCTTCAAAAGAGCATCTTCCGTGAAAAGTGCTATTGGTTTTGTAAACTTCTTTGCTCTCAGTTCATATGGACCGTCTCTGTCACCAGTATATTGTATTTGTACAGTACCAACAGTTGAAATACCACCCATAAAGTCTTCTGAGTCAGCAAATGGAATGCCAAGCCAAAAGTTTGAACGGTCTCCATTTGTATATTGAGTTTTTTGACTTCCTGTATGGGTCCATACTTTCACATATGGCATAATAGAACTTTGCATTTCAGGGTTAATGGTTGTTGTGAAGTTGTTGTTAAAGTTCATAGCATCTAATGTCAAGTTGTATGACCTCATATCTTCAACTGTAGAATATTCTTCTCTTGGATAATATTTGCCATCTATGTTTATATGATATTTAATACCGGGGTTGTAGAAACAAGAATAGTCATTTATAGTTCGTCTGAACAGTACAAACATAGTATCTGCGTGTTTCATTGCAGTTGTTAAAGCAATATCTGTTCTTGCACCTGCGGTTCCTGGATTTTGGTTTCCAACTTCACCTGCAAAGTCTTTGACAGATATTTGGTGTATAGGGAACATAAGTGGAACTGCAATATATTTGGCAGCTAAAGCATTTGAAATATCTGGGTCCAACATATAGACTGCAAGTCTGCTTTCTATTCTCTTGCATTCAAATTTTTCGCATGTAAACCTAACTGGGTCCCAAGCAGTTCCAGCAGCATTGAAATAATACTTTACTTCAGTGTTGAGGTTTGAGAAACCAAAGTCTAAGTCAACTTTGTCTTTGCAAAATTCGGCGAATGACGTTTGATTTGCTCCCTTTACGTCTGTAAGAGTGAATGGGTCTTGTGTTGGTGCAATGACTAAGTTATTTTTGCTTGGAGTAAGTTCGATAGAAATTTTTCCTGCCCAGTTTGGCAAGTATCTTAAAAACCTGAAGATGAGGAAAGATGACAAAGGAACTCTAAGTTTCAGTTTTACTTTAGTGACAGCATTTCCATCTGAACCAGAAAGGTTAACATAAACTCCTGGAACGTTAGGGTCAAGTCTTCTTATTTTCTCAATAGTTGCATACTGGTCTGTTTGTTCTCTAGCTTGTGGTTGTACTGAGTTTCTTAAAGCGAACCATTCATAGTTTGCCCATGTTACTGTTTGAACTAAGTCAGAGTTAGAATATATCTTATATCCCATGAAAACTTCTGGAGCATATTGGTATCCGACATAGAAAATTCCATTGCAACCTTTCTTGTCAGACAACTTGGCAGAAGGTTTTATTTCAATGTCTTGTTCCACGTATAAGAAAGAGTTGTCAATAGAAATAATATGAAACCTGTCGCAAGCAATATCTACTGTTGTTGAAGAACCTTCTCCAAACTCACCTACATTTCCATAAGAAACAGCAGTTGTATATTCGTAAGTTCCAGGAACTATTTCTGACCTTCTAATGGCATTGTCGCATTCGTTATACCATTCGGAAACATTTCCATTCATGGCATCCAAAACTGTTGGCGTTATATTCTGAGCGGCGTACATTTCATATGGGTAAAAATATAGAATAGTTGGATTTATGTGTCATAATAGAACCCACTCGGACCAAGCTTTACTTTCTTCCTGACTGAGTTTTTAACTCTTCTTTTTCCTTCATTGCCACTACTTTCACTAGATGAAGTTACTTCTTCACTACTTTCACTTTGTTCTACTCTTCTCTTCTTCTTTGGTAACTTGCCCTCTGCTTTAAGTTGTTGCATCTTTGCATCATGTTCATCTAGTATGTTGCAAATTTCACGTGTCCTTTTTGCCTTTAGGCTCTGGTCGCCCATCTCAGGTATCCTATATCCTAGAAAGATTTCGTCATAGTTTGTATTTGAGTCTTCGCGTATTGTTTGCATGACTCTTTCCTGAGTTTCCGGTTCAAGCTCTTCAAATATAGCTTGTCCATATGGAATAAGCTTGTTTCCAAATATATGTTCTTGTAGCCATTCTGGTTTTCTTTCCATGTTACCAACAATATCTTTTGTGAATGGGAAAGCTTTTACCCAACGTTTCAGTCTTGCGTCATTTATTTCTGTAGTTGGTTTTATTTTGTCAAGGAACATGTTTTTCAATACTAACATTTCATTTGGTACTGTCCATTTGAGTTTTCTTAAATATTCATCCCTTCTCGGTTCATTGTCTGCAAAGTAAGTTTTTATGACATTTTGTAAACTTTCGTTTGCAAGGTCATGTACAATAGGTTCTCTTCCTTCTCTCTCCCTAACTCTCTTTCTAAACTCTTCACCAAATATACCATCTCTATGGTTCTGTGTAGTTCTTTGAGATAAATGTTTTAGAACGTCAGGTGTTATATTTCCATCAGCCATGTTCATTTCATACTGGTTCAAAATATCTGCATGTTTCATATCTTTCAATGGCATTAAAGCCGCGCTGAAAATACCAGCTAAATCTGGTTCACCATTGACTTCCATTGCGTCTACAACTTCTTGGAATTGTGGTTGTAAGTTTATGAACCACCTATCCGGGTTAGCTTTATGACCCCATCTCATTGTAGTTCCATAGTCTGCAGAAACAAAAGTAGGTTTGTTTCCATATTGGCTAGGTTCTGAATGAACTTTAAACAATGTTTCATTTCTATATGTTTTGTTGAAATTTAACCTTTTATTTTCACCGAGTTCATCCAAAGATTGAACGTTATATGGTCGTAAGTAAAAAGGGTTGTTGTATTTGCGTACATTTTCTTTCAGTACTTCCATTCTATGCTGAATATTTTCATCTGGTGTTGGAGTCTTTTGTATGTCGGCAAACATTTTTCGATATTCTTCTACCATGTCAGCCGAATTTTTCTTAGACTCTTGGAAAGATTCCATATTCACCTCATACTCTTGTTGAGGGTCAAGATTTTTCGGCTGTTCCAAATCTTCATCTAGTTCTGTGAAGTTAGTTTCCAAAGGAGGGACTTGTTCGTTTCCTTCAGGCTCTTCTAGCTGTTGTTGCTGAACTATTTCTTCCATGTCTGGTTGTATCTGAACTTCTTCCTGTGGAGTTTCTTGTACCTCATCTGCTGGCATTTCATATATTCCGAGACCGTTTTTAACAAGTTCCCTATCTAAGTCATCCGGACTCATAAACCTTTCTTCTTTCGTTCCGTCTCTATTTTTTACGCGTTTCATGAAGAGAGTTGAATTGTCATTTAGCTCTGACACCAAATATCTCGGAGTAAATTCAGTCATGTCATTTGGATGATATGCTATTAAATCATATCCCTTAGCGAGCTTGTATTTTCCAGGTTTGAAATTATATCCCATTTGGTGCTGAGCCATAAAGCTAAATAGGTTCGGGTCAGTATTTCCTTCCTTGAACTTTCTAATAGCTTCTTTATATCTGTCACTAAAGTCAAGAGTAGCTGGGTAACCATAGTCTTCTTTAAGCATTTTTAAGAAATCTTGGTTTCCTTGTTCTCTACTTCTTTTATGTCCTTGCTCTGTTTGTGGTTGTTGTTGTGCAGGGTTTTGAACTGTTGGTTGCTGTGCTGGTTGTGGAGGTGGTTGTTGTGCTGGTTGTTGTTGTTGTTGTGCTGGATTTTGAACTGTTGGTTGTTGTGTTGGTTTTGGTGCATGCTTGTGTCTGTGTCCATGTGACGATGTAAATGTTCTAGGTAGTCCTGGTGCAGGTGCTTCTCTTGGAGGGTTTGGTGGTATATAAGTTCCACTAGCTAGTATATAAGTTCCACCAGCTGGTATATAAGTTCCACCAGCTGGCACATATGTTCCATCTGCAGCATAGTGTCCTACCTGACTTTTCGTTTTTAAGAAAGCATTTACTAGGTCTGTTTTGGTCTGTTGTAACTCTTTTTCTTGACTTTCCACAACAGTTGCTTTAACGGCGTCATAGGCACTTTGAACTGCCTGTCTCGTTGCTGCATCTGTTATTTTCGTCATATTTTGTGCTACTTCTTTTAACTCTTTGTCGAAACCTTCAGACTTCAGTTTCTTTCCAGATGAGAAGTCGTTCACTTGTTTCACCTTACTATGAAGAGCTTCGAAGGCGTTCTTAAAGTCAGCATTTGTTAAAGCTTCATTTGAACTGTCTTCATCCGCTTGTATTTTTGTCCTTATTGACCCTATAAGCTGGGCTGCTTTAGCGTTGGCTTGGGCATCTAACCAGTCATTGTTAGCTTTTATATATTCTGCGCTTTTCATTGCCTTTTGCATGGCTGCGTCGTTATTTTTACTTTCTTGTGCTAAGTTTTCATACTGTACGGTTTGGTTTTGCAACTGTAAAAGTTTTTCTGCCTTTACATTTGCTTCAACTTCTTTTTTATACTCATCGCTATCCATATATGTCTTCAGGGCTTTTTGTTTTATCTCTTCATCTTTCAGTACTTTATATTGAGTAGTATGGTTTTTCAAATTTATGACATCTTGTTCCATTTTTGCTACTTCTGCTGCTTTTTCTGACACTTTTTTCGCATATTCCTCTGTACTTAGTTCTTTCAGTTGTTCTTCTTTCTTCTTTTTCTCTACGTTTAACTCATTGAGTTTCTTTGTGTGTCTGTCATATTCTAGTTTCTTTTCGTTTTCACTTATTTGCTTCTGTATGTCTATGTTTGACTTTTTGACATCTGATATTTGATTTTTGAGTGAACTCAAATTCATTTGACTTTGAGGGTTATAAGCTGTTCCGTCTGCAGCTCCACCATAGCCTGCCATTTTCGCTAAAAGTGCCGCTCTTAAACCTCCACTCTGTGCACCAATAACTCGGTTTAAGAGCATAGGATTGCTTGACATTTGTTGCAACATAGTGGGGTCATTCAGCATTTGTTGTTGCAACTGTTGTTGTGGTGTCAGTTTTACTATTGGATGTTTCAATGCTCCCTTCCTCTTACGTATATTCTTACGTAGCTTACGTGGCATTTTAAGTGAAGTTAAAAAGCGGTTTTCGACAGATGTTTATATGACACTTCTTGTTCAGCACAAAAAACTACTCGGTCAAAGTGTTGTCAGTTTTGTAAAATAACCGTCCTATCTTGTTTTAAAAGGGAGAAAAGGCTTCTCAAAGTATACTTCCTTGGAACGCCTGTAACTTTTCCTGTAGCGACGATAGACCCTTGCTTGTCCGGACAAAGTTATACTAAACATCTTCAGGGCTAGAGGGCACGAAGTGCCTGGAGGCCCCACTACCTTTTTTTTTTTTTTTTTTTTTTTTTTTTAAACGCAACCTATAAAAACTCTAAGTTATCTATTGGAATGAATGCGAGCTCTTCAAAATAATATATAGAAACTTAAGTATATAGTACGTTCTAAAGTTGTTACCATAAGAATTCTTTCGTAAATAAGCAAAAAATACAAATGATTTAAAAGTTTTCTGAATATTTAACAATTAAGCCTATAAGAAGCTTTAAGAATCATTCTATGCTAAATTGTGATGGTGCTATTTGATCATTCTTGGGCAATCCCTGTCTTTTTAAGTTGAAAAAATTATGGGAAATCTGGGTATATCCGAAACCATTGTTTTCTACATGTATGACATAGTATTTTTTTCTTCTAAGGAATTTAAGGGGTATTTCATATGGTAGATAGCAAATATGCCTTTTTTAAAAATTAAGAATGTCAGACCAAGACGTTCATCCAAACAAATACACCAAATTACGAAGTATCTATAAATACTACATTGATTCATATATTGCGCTGTATCAGCTGAAAACGGATAAGGAAGAAGAATTAAAGTTAATTTACAAAATGATCAAAACAGAATTGATTGATTCAAAGAAATATCCACCAACCAAGGTTGTACAAGACGTTTTAAGTATAATTCCATATAATAATCGCTATACAAAGTCATATTTATTTCTTGCCAAACTCATATCTGATTATTACCATGTTACAGAGGTCAGCAATGTCGTACCTATTTCAAACTTCTTGTTTTATAAAGAATATGGAATTAAATTAGACAAATCTGATGATTTTGAAAAAATTAAATCAGATAATCTCGATATTCATACAGAAAATACAATTTACAGAGCAATTATGAATAACGACAAAGAAAAATTCATCACATTCACTGAAAGCGATAGATTTGATGAATATCAAACGCTTGAAAGCGATTTATATCCATATTTCCTAGAAGGATATTCATTACTTGAATTATGTTGTTACCATGGAGCAGTTGATTGTTTCAAGTTTTTAATAACAAAATTCAGCTTAGAAATAACTAAAAAATGTCTAGGTTTATCATTTTTAGGTGGAAATCCAGAGATTATGAGTGAATGCTTGAAATATCAAGAACCATATCAAGATTGCATGAAATATGCAATTATTTCACACAACATTGATTTTGTTACATTATTGAAGAATGAGTACGATATAGAGATCAATTTAGAATACTGTGGAATTTACAATAATATTGAATCCTATTTAGTTTATTTCGATCAAACCAATGATATAAACAAATGCTTTGTTTATTCACCGATTTTAAATATTCCATCCTTTTTGGTATACTTCCTTTCACATGGTGCAAATATCAATGAAAAAAATGAAGATGGAAAAACCGCACTTCATATTGCAGCAGAATATAATAGTAAAGAAACTGCTGAATTTCTTATTTCGCATGGTGCAAATATCAATGAAAAAGATAATATTGAACAAACTGCACTTCATATTGCAGCAGAAAATAATAGTAAAGAAACTCTTGAATTTCTTATTTCGCATGGTGCAAATATCAATGAAAAAAATAAATATGGGCAAACCGCACTTCATTTTGCAGCAGAATATAATAGTAAAGTAATCGCAGAACTTCTTATTTTGCATGATGCAAATATCAATGAAAAAAATAAATATGGGCAAACCGCACTTCATTTTGCAGCAGAATATAATAGTAAAGTAATCGCAGAACTTCTTATTTCGAATGGTGCAAATATCAATGAAAAAGATGAATATGGACAAACTGCACTTCATATTGCAGCAGAATATAATAGTAAAGCAATCGCAAAACTTCTTATTTCGCATGATGCAAATATCAATGAAAAAGATGAATATGTACAAACTGCACTTCATATTGCAGCAGAATATAATAGTAAAGCAATCGCAAAACTTCTTATTTCGCATGGTGCCAAAAAATAATGTTCTTACATAAAATATTTTCGAAGAAGATATTTATTAGAGAGTAATTTGTATATAAAATAATCGTTTTTGCGCATTTTTTTGGACTTAAGTTGTTAGATATGATGAGTTATATTATTTTCATCCTGGTGAAGTTGCACATGAATTCACTGGATAAAGTCTTCCAAAAATGCAAAGAACTCGGCTACATCTTGCGAGGAGTAGTTTGAGATGATGCCGAAGATAAAGAACCCTTTCCATTTGGCTTTACTGGTGAAACTGATGTTCCGAGAGTAGATATGTTCTTTCTTGGCCTTGTTAAAAATCTTCAATCTTTCAGAATTTTAAATATTAATATTCAATTTTCTTGAGGAATAAATAAAAATTGATTTCATCTCAACTATATTTCTCCATTTGATATAATGAATACGAGATAAAATACTTCATTTTTAAGAATTCACACCTAAACATTCTTCAGTCGATACTATAGTATGTTGTGACAATTATAAACGATTTGACACGCTCATATTCAATGAGAATCATCAGATTTAATTACACAAATCTTATAAACATATGTGTTTGATAGTATAGTATGATGGAGTATTTACTAGGTCATATAATGCCAAAGTTCAAAGACATAATGAATAGTATTGGGGATTTTCAAGCTAAACTACGATTTTGACACGTAAATTTTGTCAGAAATAGTGAAATTTTGGTCTTGGTCGCGCCCGTATTAAAAATTTTCGTCTTCCTTCCATAACATTCATATGAAATTCGTGAGATTTTGACGAATCAAGTTTTCATATGAGGCAAAATTTTTGTCACTTTTTAATGCGCCATTTAGGAAAAAATCCTCAGTGGGTTGAAATATCAAAAGTCATTGAATATCCACCAGAAGTACTCGAATTTTATAGTCAGCATCTTATTGAACAAACTCTTAAGTTTGAAAAAGAATTTGCGAATACTTTAAATGATCAAACTTATAATTTGAAACCAATTTCACTTCCACCAAATGGATTGCTTAATAAAGGACTTATGTGCTTTGCTAATGCATCTTTGCAGCTCTTATTTTCATCAAAAGAGTTTGTTAGTTTTATATTATTCATGAAAAACAATATGCGATTTTTCTCAATTGCTCAACTTGCTTCGGCACCAACATGGTCTGCACTTTGCAAGTTTGCACGATCATATGCCACAGAAAAAAACATAATTTCAACAGAATCAATGGATGAATTCTTCGGTCCATTTACTTCTAAGCGTCATCCATTAACAATGGAAGATGCCGCCGAGTTTACAATGTTTTTACTTAATAAACTTCACGATGAATTACAAGAACTAATAAAATTAGGAGATATCAAGCAAGATGCAGGCGGATGGCAAGCCAAAGGAATTAAAAGTGGTCGCATTACTGTTTCTGATGAATGTGTTAAGAGATCTCCAATAACTCATATATTCGGTACAATAGTAAGAGCTGATACACTTAGCAATGGTCATTCCAGATCTGTTGGTCATGAGCCATATCTTGTCCTACCTCTTGACCTTTCCCCGACTTTAGAAGAATCAATTGAAAATTTCTTGAAATTTTCAGACGTTGATGACGGAACATCCAAGAAGAATTCATTCCTATCTTTACCGTCTTCCATAGTAATTGCTCTAAAAAGGTTCGCTTTCGATGGAACTGGTGTAATTAAAAGAGATGATATAATTAAGTACCCAAGCAAACTCAGATTGCTTAAAACTGACTTCGAACTTGCTGCAATAGTTATACATATTGGTTCCAGCCCTGCTTCTGGCCACTATATTTGTATTTCGAAGAGAACTGATGGACACTGGCGCGAATACGATGATTCTGATGTTTATGGTATCAGAGATGGTACAGAGATGGAACAACAGGCTTATCTTCTTTTATATAATAGAGTTTAGATAAATTTTGTTTGTTATATGAAATATTTTTTTTTATTTTTAGTTTTCATGCTTAGCTGTATAGTTTTCACATAAAATCTGGAAATTAAACACAAACGAATGATAGAATTAAACTAAATTTAATAATAATATTTGGATTCATAAAAGCAGGGCCCACAATTTTATTCCTATGCATATCAGCCACTCATAACCTTTGGAAATTCATATCATATTGGATTCACTCCCACGATTAAGATAGTTTCCCAAAAAATGTTTGGGAAAATATGATTAATTATCATAAAGTCTACTGAGATATTGAAGCGTTAGATATGCTGTTACATGGTACTACTTCTAAAAGTATAAATGTAAGATTCCTCTTTATTTTTTATATTGTTGAATCTGACTAATCGTCTTTTATCAAATCTGAAATTTTAAAAAAGTAATTTAACATTAGCCGGTATGTATGAATAAATTACAAAAATCCCGAAACAATTGCTTTATTATTTTGAATACTTTATGCAAGACATCCATTGAATTTTACACTCAAGTGTTTTTGGTAGAAATTTAGTATAAGCAATTATATACAAAATAAGATAGTTGAAAGTCAGACAAAAATTGAAAACGAGTCAAGAATAAAGCACAATACTGTTAGTATGAGATTTTATACCCCATATTTAGGAAGATTCCAATTGAATTAAAAACCATCAAGTTTTGAAAAAAGTTATTCAATTAAAAAAGCTTGAAATTGTATATATAAATATGGTCTGAACTTATCCACCATTTCACCTTATCAAATTCAGAATTATTTCTGAAAACTGTCAAATCATGGAAGATGAATAATCTTTTAGTAAATGCATTTTAGTGAATAAATGATCTGAAATCGAATTTGAAAATTAGTCACCTTTATAAAGGTTAAAAAAAATGGGATCTCATCCATGCAAGCTTTTGATGGATACGATCCTTAATGATAAAAACTTCAACATCCAAGCCTTTATTAAAAGTGGTCTTGGTGAATTTATCAATCAATTAATTAGTTATTTCAATACATTCAATAAGAAACAAGAATCATCTTTCTTCAAACGCGCTAAGTTTGTTAATTCCAAGAAAGTCTTAGAATCTTTGAAGAAGATCTTCGGTTCTCCAACAATAACTCACTTAGATGGTGACAAGAATTTCATGACTAACCTTAACTTGATCTTCTGCACACTTCTCCATCCAGAATCCCCAGCAGAATGCCGTGCTGGCGCACTTGATGTGTTCTTAATTATGATTGTTCTTGTAAATCAAAAAGATCTTCAATATTTCCAGAAATCTCTCTCAATGATGATCCCATATGCAATTGTTGCCAGAGGTTCAGACGTTAACGACTTCAAGGAGAAGATCTACAAGGACATTAACCCAATTTATGTTGAAAATCCAAAACCAGTCACAAGCGATCAGGCTAAAGCATCGCTTTCCACGGTTCTCACATTTGTATTCAAGAATTGGACTACACAAGGTTCATTTGTCCAATCAATTTTAATGAATAACATTTTGAAAGTTATTTACAGGGCCAGCATTGAAAAGGCAGGCGTTCCAACACAAGACTATGGTTTCTCTTACAACCCAGAGATTTTCCATGAAGAAATTGTCCAATTTATTCAAAAATTGCTCAATTCCGAAATGGACATCTCACCACTCTTCGCAAACAGGGATTCCATTACCGCCATCTTCGCCGTTGCTGAAGCCACCACAACACAAGCTGTTATCAGTGGTCTTTGCACTTCATGCATCCTTATCTCAACAGTTTACTCGAATACAACATATTACAACGCATGCTACAGCTCTAAGGACTTCAACAAGAACACCGGTAAGCTTATCTTCAACATTCTCGCTGCAAATTGCAAGAAAGATGGTTCAATGGAGCAAGCACTCATTACTGCGTCATACGATCCGATCAAGAAGTATCTCGAGACTGTATTACAAGAGTTCCAACTCGCGCAAACCTATTTCAGGTCAATTTTCCAAATAAATGACGAGAACCATGGCGTTTTCGCACATTTCATCTGCTGCATACTCCGCTTCTTAGTTGATTCGAACGAGAAACGTCCTGAAGTTTGGAGTTTCTTCATAAAAGAATTTTGTCAGCGAAAGATCGGTGCCGCCGCCTGTTCATACTTCCTCCAATACTTAGTAGTACTCGGATTACCATCACTGTTCGATTTCGATACAACAAAATCGCGTTCTTTGGCATCTCAATTTATTCAACGAAATAAGAGGAACAGACAAGAATCCTGCTACGACTTTATTGGTGAGAACCTCGAACAGATCATCGAAATACCACACGAGTTCACCAGAAAGGTTTTGAAGCAAGAATGGGCTCCATTTTCTGATTTCGACGAGATTATTAGCAATATCTTCATCCAACCACTCGAAATCAGTCCAGACAAAGTCCTTCCTATCATTAACTTCATTGTTCCGTTCTTTAATTTCATCAAATTGGATGATGAACAGCTTTCCTTATTAATGTTCATTCCTTTGTACCAGATGTCAGAGACACTTGCAAGATGTTCATTATTCCCACCAGGAATCAAGATCCAGTCCCAAGTTCCTTATCAAATCTGCGGAAACTTCCTTTTCCAGGCCATCTTCGACCAGCCGTACTCCGAAATCAGAACAGCAGCGTTCTCCGCACTCGCCAAAGTCCTAAACCTCAAAGAGATCCAGAAATATCTTGGTCAGAAGAATTTATCTTCTTGGTACGCAGCATTGATGCTTCAAATGACGAATGAGAACATCGATATCAGATCTAAAGCGTTCTTCGAGGCTCAATCCACTGTTCAAGACGCTTTTACAGGATCATCTTATTTAATTCCTCTTATGATGGCTTTACTTGAAGAAGGATTAGTCGACAGATCACAACAAACGATGTCCTTCCTTTCTTCATTCCCTCTCTTCAGAATTGAACCGAAAGTCAACAAGAATTTCCTCGATGGCATCATAAAAGTCATCAAATCCAACAAGAAACAGTTCGTCGCCAACGCAGAGACACTTCTCAACAAGACAGGAGCAAATCTGAGAAGCAGAGCCATTGTTTTACTGAAAAAGATCGATGATGAAATCAAAAACTGCAGAGAAAGACTTGAATTACTCGAATTCGTTGATCCCGCGTTCAACGCATTACTTGCTGATGAATTATCACGTGATAAGAACGAGATTGACTCGAAATTAGTCGAAGATATCCTTAAAAGGTTCATCCATTACATGGCAATCAAGAGAACAGAGAGTATTTGTTCCATCAGAACTTCAATGATGTACATGCAAATGATGATTGACAATTATCCACAAATTGTCAATAATTATGTCAAAGAAATTTCAAATCTCTGCATCAAATTGACAGAAAAAGATGATGTTGAGTGGTCATTCCAAGCCATCAGACTTACAACTGATCTATACGTAGAAACAGGCAGATTGATCAAAGTCAGTGATTTCTACAAAGATTTCGCTCTTTTCTTGAGAAACGGAATCACAAAAGAATCCCAATTTTCTCAAGACATCAAAGACGTTATGTCAAATTCCTTAGAATTACTGTCAAAGAACTACATGAGGTATCCATTGCCTTTGACACCGAACTTCTTGACTTCTCTCGCATCAGTTAACAACACGAAGCCAAGTTACAACATTTTCAGATGCATGAATACGTCAAGAAGATCTTTGACAACAGAAAACAAAGTACAGATTTCCACTCAATTCCCATCAGGTCAATTTGTTTGGGAATTCACGCCCGTAAATCAGTCAATTGTCAAAGAAATGAAATGCAGTGAAGTGAAGTCATCGTCACTTTTCACTAAAGAGGAACGTGTTCCAGAGCCGTATTTATTCAAAGACCAGAAGAGTTTCTCAGACAAAGTTGACACTATAATTGACAGTTTCAAGATCGAAAAGATGGATTTGTTCCCTGACGGTCATGATCTCAACGAAACACTGAATAAAATCATCGCGATGCCTAATGATTACAAACAGATGGAGAAGGCCAAACTTGGCAAACTCACTCCACCAGAGATAAACATGAATACTCCTGCAGCTATTTTGAATTCTGTTCATCTCATGAGTCCAGACAATTTCGATAAATCAAGACTTTACACAAATGACACAAGATCTAATGATTTCTTGGATAAAGCTAATGTTCATTCAACAAGATTGGGAACAAAGTTCGGTGTCATTTACGTAAAGGATTCTTCAGAAGACCAGAACGCAATTCTCGGTTGCACGTTACCTGATGTTTCTGAACATTTCAAAGAGTTCGTTACCGGTTTGGGTTGGCCGATCAATTTGCAGAAACATCCAGGATATTTGGGCGGTTTGGATGCGAAGAACGAAAAGAACGGCCGCACATCTATTTACTACGCTGACTTTGCGCATGAAGAGATGTTCCACGTCGGTCCTCTTCTTCCTAACGATCCTAGCGACAAACAGCAGATCTACAAGAAGAGACACATCGGAAATGACCACATCCACATCTGTTGGTGCGATGCTGCTAAAGATTACAACACTGCAACGATTTCTTCTCAGTTTAACCAGGCACACATTGTTATTTATCCATTACAAAACGCTTTGTTCGGTGTGAAGATTAAATGGCGTGATGATGTTCCATGGTTTGGCCCATTGAGATGCGATTTAGTTGTCAACAAACTGGCTCTTCCTTCTCTTGTTAGAGAGACAGCAGAAGGAGCAATGCTTGCAATCTACTTCAAACAGAGCACTTTCTCTCATCCTTTGAGTGACATTAAGAAGGTCATGGACAACTTGAATGACCAGTGCCAGGAGAAGGATAAGAAGAACCCACACATCGTATTCACTACTCTTCTTCAGCCAATCAAAGAAACTGACAACTAAGCATTTAAGTAAAAATGATTTTTATTATTTATCTTTATTTTTTCTATTACTTATAACATTTTTCCGATCAAATACCGTTCATATACATCAATGTTTCATTAAGTGTTTGATGAGTGCATATATTCTGTTGTTGGATTTTTGAAATTTGATGATTTGTTTGAATCTTTCTGTATTTCTACTTGAGTATTGGCACCTGCATATATTCGAAAAGCATTTACAATTCCATGGTTCTATCCATCTAGCTTTATGGTAATGATTTGAGGAAATTTTGATCAAAATTTTAGATTTTTATTAAAGATGGCTATTGTTTCATATGTGCTTTTATTATCCATGATGATTAAAATGTATCAAACTACGAAACTTTAAATTTCATATTTTTTATCCTTCAAAATAATGCTAAGTAAATTCGATGTTTTTCCGAAATTCGCAGACAAAAGTGTCAATATTCAGACATTCACAGGTGGTTTGATCTCGTTTCTTACCACTCTATGGGTCTGTTTCCTTTTGGTCGGTAAAATTCATGGTTTAATTTATCCAGAAATCAAATCTTCGGTTGTACTGGACAAAGAACACGTCGATGGTCAAAGAAAAACATTTATCAACTTTGATATCACCATTGGTTCTCCATGCACAATGCTTCATATTGATCTATTTGAACATGATGGTTATCAAAAGACCAATATCATCGAAAATATCTCTCTTACTAGATACGCTCAGAGTGGAGAAGATATTAATGATCTTCTCGAAAAAAGAGTTCCCTCGAAATCTAAAAAACAAGATTTTCCTCCAGATTATTGCGGTAATTGCTATTTATCAACAGACAAGAAATGCTGTAATACATGCAGAGAAGTTATGGATGTATTCAAGGCCAAAGGATTAACGTATTACGCTTCTTTCAGATGGGAACAATGCATTCGCGAAGGAGTTCTTGATTTCGGAAATGAAACATGCAGGATCAAAGGCAAGCTCAAAGTTAAAAAGCAATCAGGAAATTTCCACATTGCTCTCGGAGCAAATACAAATGACAACTACAAAGGCCATTCTCACGATTTAAGTAGCGTAGATGCAAGCCACAAACTCAATCATGTTATTCATTCCCTTACTTTTGGCGAACCTGTTGATTATTACAAACCTCAACTTACTGATGTCGAAATGCAGCTTCCAGAGCTAAATGGTAGCAACTATTGGATGGTTACATATTATTTACATGCAGCTCCCGAGCGTATTTCAACAACAGACAAGATTGATTCGTATAGATATTCTGCATTTCCAAGTAGAAGAAAAGTAACAAATAAAACGAAGAAAGGATTCCCAGGAATTGTATTTTATTACGATTTCGCACCTATGATTGTCGTTTATCAGCCAACTCATGGCTCAATTCGTTCTATCATCGTAGACATCTGCGGAATTGTCGGAGGAGCCTTCTCATTTGCTGCCATTATCGATGCTTTGGCTTTCGGAGCACTGTCTGGCATTAGAGGAAAAACAATGATAGGAAAAGCTGCTTAAACTATTGTTTTTATTCTGATTGTGTTCAAAATAACATAGATATTTTCTTTGTATTCATATTTTTTGATTATTTGAATAAATTAACTCATATGTATTCAAATTAACTTTTTGAAGCCATATTTTTAAAGTATAACTAAAAATTCGCATTTTAAAAAGAATAAACATTTAAATTTTAGTAAAAATAATCTAAAACACAAAAAAATTATTGAGTTTTCTCTTCTGGTTTGGGTTCTTCCTCTGGTTGATCTTCCTTCTCAGGTTGCTCTTTTTCTTCTGGCTCCTTGGATTCTTCTTCTTCTGGTTGATCCTTTTGATTCATTTTATCTAACGCTTCTTGGATCTTTTGAGCTTGCTGATCAATGATTTGCTGCAAATATTGTATATTATCATTTTCTTTTTGTTGAATCTTTTCGCATTTGCGTCTATTTTTCTCCATTTCTTTTCCTTCGTTTTTAATCTTTTCTTCAATGGATTTTCTGATGTTTTCTAATTCATTTGGATTGTCATGAATAATCTTTAACTGCTTTGTTGAGTAGTTGCGGAGCTCACTTTTATTATAAGCGAATAACTTCTCTGTAAGGCCATCAATTTCAGCTTGTAGATCATCAATGCAGTCTTCGTTAGCTTTTGCAGATGCAGCTTGTCTCTTTAAACGGTTCAATTCCATAGCAATAATTGCTTCTTTGTCTTTCATTGTTTTAACGCTCTGAGCAAGGTGTTTTTGCTCAAGGTAGTACATTTGGATCTCAATTTGTAGTTCTTTTGAAACAGCCAATTTATCACTTTTTTCAATCTCATCAAGTTGCTTTTTCCTCTCATTAAGAGATCTCTCAAGAGATTTAGCGGTCTCTTCGAGTGTCAAAAGCTGATTTTTAGAAGCTGTCTTGATATTGCGATTATCATTTGGTTGAGTGTAAACGCTCTGGATTTTATTATTGCGAGCTTTAATAAGTGCTTTCATGTAAGCTGTTTTTGACTTCATTTGCTTTCTTTCTAGTTCTAATTGCTGAGTTTTTAATTTGATATTATTAATTTCGTCTTGAGTAATTCTAGAACCTGAGTCCTTTGGAGAGTTCAGATCTGGAAGACGGGATGTTCGATCTGTACTAATAGAAGTCTTCGCGCGGGTACGGTTCATTAAGATAACGAATTTTTGACATTTTTTTCTCACTCAACTATCGTGATATAAAAACGAATTCTTTATCAGGAAAATGATGATACTATCGCATAACTCGACAAATCATCTAATTTTATTTGTTCAATTGATTCTTTGTTAGATGAATCGTCTCATTGATGAACAAGAATAGAATAATTGGAACTGACAATAAGAGCATTGCCGAGTGATATATGAATTTTTCATGGATTGATTAATTCGATAACAGTCTTAGTAATCTCTCTTGTATTGTAGAAATTCAGTGTAAAAATCTTGATAAAAGTATAAGTGCATTCCACTTCAATGTATATTGGCCTGATAATTTACTTTAATATTTAAATCAACTTGAAACCACATATTTATGAATTGATTCTGGAAAATACACAAATTCACTAACTAGCCTTACTTTGTTTTTAATACTTAACGTATAAATCAGATTAGTTTACCTATTTAATAAATATAATTTACCAAAAAAAGAAAGAAATCTAATAGTTAGTATTAGTACAACGAATTAATTTTGGCCTTCTTGGCGCTGGATTTCACGACAAAGCTGAACTAAGTATGGTGTTCTATCATAAGTGCATAAGTGGCATTCCTTGCCAAATTGGCGACGGTTGTATGCTCCGAGCATTTCTGGTCTCTGTGATTCGTATTTAAGGCAATTTGCTGTGAAATTAAATCCTGAGCATTTCAAGAAATCATAAATAAGCTGAAGTTCGAACTTCTTGTCTTCTGGAACACCCTTAAATTCCATGAGGGCTGCTTTATTTTCTGGATCAAGAAGATGCTGGCATGCAACTGTTGCGATATCTTGTGCATTTTTAAGAACTTCTTGTTTAACACCTTTCTGCTCTAAAACGTCATTGAGTTGAGCAACAATTTCTGTTTGGCAATCTTCGGCTACTTCTTTGATAGTACTCATTCTCTGTTTACAAACCGTTAGTGTAAACTGCAAAATCGATCTTTTCTTACAAAACGCTCCATAACGCAAATATCATAAAGCCTTATCATGTAACAGATCACTTGAGCTAACTTTCTCATGAAAAACATAAAGGATTTCATATAATGTTTAATATCTTCCAATAAATAGGAAATATGCAAGGATGTGAACATCAAAATTTAATTGTATTCGTTGAGGAATGAACAAATATAAAGAACAAACAGTATTACTGATGAATTATTTTATTTGTAAATATTTTAATAGATTATTGAAAAATGGTCATGATTTACTTACAAACTATAAGGAGTTAGTTTGATAATTAGATTCTGCTCCTAGAAAATCGTAAATAATTTTGAAAATTGATAAAATTGGAGTTTTTTAGTAATTAGTCAAAAATATTATATTTTTATCCTCCTTTAAGGTGTTTTGTAGAATATCATGTGTAAAATCATTTGAAGTCTTTTGGATGAGTGCTTCTCCAACTGACGACTATGTTCAAATGGTTGAAGAGCTAAGAGAATTACAAGTAAAACTAATCAAAGAAGACACTTTTTACGAATACCTTGAAAATGAAACAAAAGAAACAATTTCAAAATTAGAAAAAATTTCATACAGAGCTAGATGCATTCAAAAATACATTATTACATTCTTAGCAAGCACATTTCGTGTTAAACCTTCCAGTTATTCATTGCAATATGTTAATTCTTTATTTACATATGATATTGGACAAAAAATTCCATATAAGATTGCAGACATAGATTTAGATCCATTCTACAAAGTAGGTAAAGCATGCGTACAAGATTTTGATATTTTATCTAATATTTCAGTAAAATTAATCGATACTCATCCAGAATTTGTACACAATCTTTGCAATTCAACCATACCAGCCTTATTCCAAAACTTATTTACTCGAAAATCAATCATTGAATTTAATAATTTTACAAAAACATTATTTGCCAAATTTCCTTTATATGTTCCTCGCTTTCTTTCTTTTATGTTAATGCATCCATTGATGTCACAATTTATCGAATCAGTTATCGAAGAAATCCAAGTTCCGTACACAGATGAAAATTATATCGAAAAATTCATTGAAAGCTGGAATAACAACTATACACTAATGCCAAAACTATTCATTGACATATTGAAGAACTCTTCTACACCAGAAACCCTTCTTTTTGATCTTTTTGTGAAACCAATTTTTCAATTTCCAAAAATGCACTGTTTACTTCATCAACTTGATGAAATCGATGAAAAGAGACTTGCACAAATCATAACTCAACTTAATACCATGCAAGATAAGCTCTGGGAGGCATTTTCCGACTCATCAGAATTATGTGACTTTCCAAAAGAAGAATCCAATGTCCAAATCCAAAGTATCTCACAATTCTTTGTCTTTTCAGACGAGGATCTTGTTATTCTATCATATATTGCAGAGATTGGCAAAGAAATGGATTTATTAGACATTGATGTTCCAGAAATTCAACCATACAAAGTTATTTTCATTTTCCCGGAGCCTGTCGAAGTTCCACAAGCATCAATGAGTAGTATTATACTTTATTCATCACAGCCTGATGATATAGAGATGAACATCAGGTCATTAATTGTGAAATGTCCTCCAATTATTCACGCGAGTTCTCTTTCACAAGAAAAAAACTTCTTTTTCGAAATCAGAAAAATGTTGGCTTTCATTCCAAGAGAAGAAGAAACGTCGTTCGAACTGAAGATAGTTAAAGTAGAACAGATGGTTAAAGATAGATATACATTTAGAAACATTTTGGACATATTAAAAAATGCTTTCGAAAAAAGATCAAATGAACACATAAAAAGTTTGTCAAATATTGCTCAAATGAACAACAAAAACAAGACATTGCATGTAAGTATTGAAGAACTAACTGAACATTTGAAGAATAGAATGTCTGTATTAAGATATTACTTACTTCAATCGTGGAGTAATGATCCACAAAATGAAATTTCTTTGCCTGAAGATGTAATTGAAAATCCTGATACTTTCAGCGAATTCTTCACAAAAAGCTATGGAATATGGACTGAATGGCTGAAGAACAAACAGTTCTTTACTTGGGATGATACAATGGAGTTCCATGAGTTCTTGATGAGAAAAATTCCTTTGGAAAAATTTGTTGAAAAACATCAAAATTTGGTTGAAGAAGATCAAAAATTTGTTGATTTAATTGACAACAAAAAAGATGAGATAATGGAAATGATTAAAGATAAGTTCATTAAAGTGTTCTTGAATAGACCAGAACTTCTTGATGAAGCAGAACTTTATTGTCGCCAAATATTTACTGAGAAATCTCCTTTGGAAGCATCAAATAAAATGCATTTGATGTTTAGAGAGTTAATTTTCGTCACTGAATCTGAAGTAAAAGATGATGCAGGAGAAAATGAATACACTCCTCTGAGATTGCTTGTTTTCATTAGAGCAAGACCTCAAAATTTGTTCTCTAAGTTGACATACATGTCTCATTTCTTGTACTCGATGATGGAAGATCCTTTGCAAGTTGAAGTAATAACAATTTGCGAAGCTCTTTGTGGACATTTCCGCGAAATAATCGATAAATTTACTGAACATCCTGCTGAAGAACAACAAGAAGATCAAGAGCCGCCATCTCCAACTACATAAGAAAATGTCTTTTTATTCTGTCTTTCATTAAAAATTCTATAAAATGTTTGATTATTTTATATATAAAAAACAAAGATTTTTTGAACAAACAAAGTTTTTATCATGATAAAATGATAAACATAGATTTAAAATCTCTCAATAATACCATAGACAATATTATTAGATAGGTACTGGCAATAATATTTAGTATTTCTTTATTTTTGAGAAATATATTTTTGAATCAAATTCATAATTTCATTATTAAATTTTTTTGCATAATCAAAAGCGGTATAACCGTCATTTGTCTTAGTATCAATTTTGGTTCCATTTGATAAGAGAAATTCAGCTATTTTAGGTGAGTCGTAAAGAGCTGATAAATGAAGTGCAGTTTTTCCATTTTGATCTTGTCTATTCACATCTGCACCACGAGCTATAAGATTTTTAACCATTGATTCGTTGCATTTCCTTGTTGCTATCATTAATGGAGTTTCTTTCTCAGAGGTTTCGTCATTGACATCTGCACCACTAGAAATTAAAATATGCATTAAAGAAATGTCATGTAGTTTTGCTACATAGTGAATTGCGCTTTTCCCATGAATATCTTTAATGCTTAGATTTGCTCCTTGCAAAATTAAATATTTGGCTATTTCAATGCTATTGTACTTTGCTGCCATAATAAGAGGTGTCATTCCAGCATAATTCTTGATATTTATATCTATCTTGCTTTCAACAAGAATCTTAACGGTTTCCATGTTATTATTGTACACTGCAAAATGAAGAGCAGATTCCTTATTATCATCTTGCGCATTTATATCCGCGCCATAACAAATCAATAATTTTAAAATATTAGAACGCCTATTTATGACTGCAAAATGAAGAGCAGTTAAATTAAATTTATCTCCTTGATTAATATCGACGCCACTTTCCAAAAATGTTTCACAAAATGAAGGAATATCTAGTATAGGAGACATTGGAAAGAAACTATTAATGTTTTCTGATTGATCCATAAGCAAGAAAAGAGCAGAAAGATTATTATATAGGGTGTCCAAAGGTGTGTTTAGCACAAACCTGAATACTGCGAATAGAAATAAACAAGTTACATATATATAAAGTTTATTTAAATATAATCACCATTGGATTCAATCACGCGTTCGCAGCGATCGATCCAGGCTTGAAAGACACGCTTTAAATCATCATGAGAAAATTGCTCAAATTGCTCTCTTACAAAATTTTCAAGATCATCTGGACTCGCGAATTCGCGTCCTTCAGCTCTCTTTTTTAGCGTGCCGAATAAATAAAAGTCAGAGGGTGCAATATCAGGTGAATAAATTGGGTTTGGAACAACTTTGACATTGTTTTCCACCAAGTAATTCATTACCTTATGACTTTTGTGAACTCTTGAATTATCAAAATGAATTGCAAACTTTTGTTTTTGTTGTTTGGATTTCTCAAACTCATCAGAATTGATAATTTGAGTAAGAACATTGTCAATTAGATACTGAGCATTCATCGTATTAGGTTTTTGAAGAATATCAATTGCGATGATGCCATTCACGCCCCAAAAAACCGACAACATCATCATTGGTGTGTCAATTTTTTTCTTCGGGAATGTTTGCGGATTTTCATCCTTCGGGATCCACATGATTTTGGCTTCTGTTGCATATTGAAACCAAGACTCGTCCCCTGTTACTAAAAAGCGAAACTTCTTGGATTGATACGCACCCAATATAGAGAGGAGCTCTTTCGAAGATTGGACTCTAGATTTTTTTTGAACTGAATTAAGGTTGTGCGGAACCCAACGTGTATACGCTAGTTTGTAGTTCAAATAATTGTGCAGATAATAACTGACTGTTGTACGTGGTATCTTTGTCATCTCCTCTATCCTTCTGAGTGATGCTCTTGGGTCTTCATCTAGCGCTTGAAGAATTGCTTTGATTTTTCTTTGATCCGGCGATTTTTTGTCAATTTTTATGATGGGCGCCTTTTTGTTCATGAAGTGATACATCCTAACATGATACGTTACAGTGGAATAGCTAGGAGCATCCATACCGAAGCATTTTACCAATGTCTCGTAGATTTTTTTACAGTCTTTGCATTTTTTTGCAAGAGCGAGGATGTTTTCTTTATGATTCATTAAAAAAATGAAAAAAATCCCGCCAAAATTTCCCGCGAAACCGCCTCTTGTCTCAAAATTCATTTTATATCCCGGCATGGCGCCAAAATACAACATACTCATCATATACATATATTCATATTTTTTATTATATATTTATAATCAGCATATATCTCCTTTAATAGTCTCATATAGAGCGCTGTGCTAAACGCACCTTTGGACACCCTATATTGATAACATTTTTCGCGGTCAATTTCTATATTGTATTCATTCATTAGAAACGAAATAAAGTCAATGTTATGAGAAATAATTGCGTATTCCATAGTTACATCTGAAGGACTTTTAAATGTTAAACATTGATTCATGATATCAGGATTCCCACTAAGAAATGAATAGGATGTACAGTTCGCGCTTAAATGGAACAGTTTCTCATTGAATTCTGATTTTATCATCTTGAAACAATTTATGGCGCCATAATAGCAGCATAGTTCAAGAATTGTGTTACCATGAGCCGGAAATATGTTAGAATTGTAGTAATATAGGTCACTATAATTGTTCGCATCAATTTTTTTATATAATAGATCAGCATTGTCGTTCATTATGGCATAAAAAATTGTGTTTTCATTGTAAATATTACATGGAACTTTGAACTCAGAAAAGTCTGCCAAAACAATATTGTATTCTTTCCAAAAATAGTAGAATAACTTATGATCAATGAAATTTAATGTTTCTGGGTGAAAATCATCATAAATCATTTTAAAAAGGGCTAAATAGGCTTTTAAATGTTTGTTTCTATATGTAACAATTTTACTTATGCATGACAAGATGGTTTGTGGAGTTGTTTTGTATTTTTCAATTAGGATCGATCTGATATTCGTATAAATTTCAGTAATTTCGCTTTCTTTGGAAGCAGAGAGACGATATAATGAATCTATTGTTTCAATATAATCTTTAAACTGACTGTAAAACTTATTATAACATGAATTCATAGACTTAAAAATTAAAAAAAATTGAAATGAACACATTTTTTTGATTTGTTTTTATTCCTAATATTTTCACGAATATTTGCAAACTAATGATAGTTTAGTGATAGAAAGATGAATTACTTTAAGAAATACTAATATGAGTTTACAAAACTATACTTTTTTTCAACTTTCATTCGTGTCTAAGATCCTTCTTTAAAATCTGAGATGGCGAAAAGGCACAAAATGATACGTATATGCTACCATGATGTTTAAACATAGATTTATGATCATTCAGTTTTTTTTTTTTTTTTCAATTCACGAGTCAAAAATTTTTTCTAAATTGGCAAGCTTAAATTCAATTGTAAAATATGTTCTAGTACATATTGCAAAGTTCATATGTAACAAAATATTTTATTCTAAATTAAAATAAAAACAGTTATCAGTTTATAATCTATATGAAATGGGAAAATTGGACGACAGGAAATTTTGTACTCGATGCCATTATCAATAACAGGGTAAAACTTAGGAGGAAGATTATTTTTGAAATTTGTATTTCCAAAGTACATACGAACATATGAACTGAGTGAACTTGCTCCATTTCTGACGACAACTCTGAACTTTTCTGCTTTGACTGGAGTAAAAACAATATATTTGATTAAATTATCAATTTGGAGGAAAAAAGTACTATCATATGTATTTATGCATGTCATGAACGTTTCATTTATCTCTGCTGTAATATTTGTATAATTATCGATCAATCGCTCACCACTTTTTTCCCAAACCATTCTTAGATTAGGTTCAGTCATAAATATCCATAATCGCGTAGATTGACTTTGAAATCCTACAATATATCCACCTGTACCGTTTTCCCATTTAAACTCCATGCATTTTCTTCCAGAAACAGTCTCATTACTTAAGTATGTAATGGATTTTCCTGCATCAAAGTACAGATTAAAAGCCTGATCATCAAAAGATGTACTAAAGTTCACTTAATTTAAAATCTTAACAACAAAATACAAAATATATATGTTTCATTCACAAAAATCAACACCAATGCTTTCAAAAATGAAAAAGAACTGTTTCAATATAGTTTGAGAAGTTTTGGTAAAAAAATCTCAATATGATTCAGATTTAACTTGGAATTATTAGCATCCTGAAGCAGCAGATGTACATCTGAAACAAATAAAACCTAATTTATTTGAAAATTTTTTAAAAAATCAAATATTAATTTTTTAATAAATTCTATCTCTAAAAAAAAGTATAATATATATATAAATAAAAAAAATAAAAATAAAATCTTACTTACCCAATATCTGCCTAAGCTTTTCAATCTTTGATTCATTCTTACCGAACACTTCAACTAAGAAATTCCATAATTGTTCATTTGTCAAACTAATGAATGATTGTCTAATTTGATCCAGTGTAGATTGTGAAATCTTTCTATCTAATAGTTCGTTATCAGGTAATAATAACAATCTAGCAATAGCGAGATCACAAGCCAACAATGTTTCTATATCCAAATTTTTGCCATTTCTTGTCAAAATTCTAACCAAATTTGCTGCCATTTTTTCTGTTTCTGTTGTATCATAAGGAGGGAATTGTTCCAAAGAAGCAGCGAACACATCTCTATCGCTGTTCAAATTCGTCAACGCGAATATTGTTAAGAACATAGAAGCTATGTTAGACAACAATGATTCATAGCCACTTTCTTGTTCCCTTGCGACATTGAACCAATCCAACATAATTTCTTTGTACTCCAAAACAGCGGCAACTTGGTCATTGTTTTTCTGGAGAACGACATTAAACAAGAAACAAATGTTCTGTTGCATGTTTGGATCCCTTGTTTCTTTAATAATGTCCGGAAGAATTTCGAACAAATTGTTGATAGATTCTTCAGAACATGTATTATATTCAATCGCATCAGAATAAGCAGCCAAAAATGAATAAGCAGGTTGATTTTCAAAGTCTTTGATGATTTCAATCATTACTTTGCAGAGTTCATCAACATATCCACTTGGTGTTCTAACAATGGATATTATGACGTCAGCAACATTAGTCATAAGGAAATAGTCGCAGCGTCCTTCCAAAGGAGAAATTCCTCCCAAACATTTGATTTGTCCATCAAAGAAAAGTTTGATGAATTCAAATGCGGATTCAATGTATTTCTCCTTTTGTTCTTCACCGCAATGTCTTATTATCTTCGCGTAAGGAACCATTGCATCAGCAACAAATCTTGGATTTGTGTCTTCGCATAATTGGCTGTGTAAATTAACAAATAATTGGTCAAGATCGAATGCATCAAGTAACTTAACAATTTCTGCTGCTGCAGTAAACAAAATTGTGTAATCTTCGAATTCTTCACGTTGTGTAATTCCTGCTAATATACATTCCTGAAGGATTTTTGCATATTCCGCTGATTTATTGTGTTTTGTAATCATTGCTAATGTTCCAATAGCAGCAACTTGAACTCTATTTACATTTAATGATTGTTCACCGATATCTTCTTCTTCTTCCTCGTTTTGGTCTTCTTCCAATTCTTCTTTTCCTTTCTCACAAATTGAATAAGCAATTTCTCTCACTTTTTCAATGATTTGTGAATAATTCTCTGTGATTTCGGATTTGAATGATGGGAATATGTCTCCAAGATAGTCAATTGCATTGGTTTTAACTGAACCATTCGGATGCTTCAGTGCTGCCATTGTTACATTCATCGCAGGAGGTAATAATTCGCCTGCAATTGACATTTCTTTCTTCAATATCGAAGAAATAATAATTAATGCAGGAGCAGATTCATAAATACTTGAATTCTCTGTAAAGAACTTTTGTACGTATTCAATGACAAGAGTTAATTCGCTGTCACTTAATTCAGTGCGGTTGATTCCTTCGGCTAAAAGTGACGCGTAATCATCGAAATCATCTTGAGTGATTGATTCCCTTATATCCCAAATGGCTGAGAACCATTGAGGGCACATGGAATCAAGGATATCGCATAAGCAATGCGTTGCGGAGTACGCCATAGTCCTGAGATTGGAGGATTCGGATACAAGTAATGGAACAAGTTTCATCAACCATTCTGAAACGAGATTTGACGTGGAAGTGAAGGTTTCGTCAAGGGAATCGAGGAAATAACATACGGACTCAAGGATTAATGTGCTCTTGGTATCAAATGCTGCATTTATTGTCTGTGTCAGAAAATCTGTATCTGCAATCAAAACTTCTGGGGCGTAGACAACAGCATTGGCAAGAACTAAGATCGAGAATGCATGTAATGCTTCATCTTCTTGCTCAAAAGAGCTTTCAACGCGTGCTTTGAGTAAAGCATAAACAATTGACAAATCGTAATCGGTAAGAGCTGTTTGGATGATGTCGTATAAGAACTCTGTGCCAGTTTTGATGATTTCTGGGCCAAGGAGGAACTGTAAATCGAAAACTTGGGCTAATTGTTCGTCAGATAGTTTTGTAATGAGACCAAGCATTGCGTTCAAGATAAGAGCGCGGTCGTATGTATCTATTCTGTTGTTGGAGCCAATTTCGATCAGTCGATTGTAGATTTGGGCAAGAAGTTCTTCGGAAATAAGATCTTTGCCAATTAACTCGCCAACGATGACCCAGATACGGTCCAATGAATCTTTAGTGGCCTGGACCTGGAATACTGAAGCATCGTAAGGATATTCCATGACTGGAGCGATATGAGGAGTTATATCGATTTTGTCAATCAAAACGTCGACAATTGATGAGAGTAACTCGAACGAGGAAGCACGAACTGGCCATGCATTGTATGCAATGCCAGCATCAATGATTTCAAGTAATTTTTCGACACTTTGTGTTTTGGCTTCTACTGAGAAATATTTGACGATATTTGATAAGACAGCGATAGAATTGGCTATTGTTTCTGTAGCTTCGATGGCATGAAGTGTGGCTGGGATTAATTCTTGCCAATTATCAATTCCTGTTGCTTCAACAATATCACCGATAAGTCCTGCTGTGCAATCAATGAATTTCTGAGGTTGATGTGTAAAAGCAAATTGAAGGAGATGAGATTTCAGTGGTGCGAGCAATTCTGGGTTTTGAAATGCATCTTGGATCTCAACTGCACGCAATATGTGAGCAAGAGCAGAACTTCTGAGTGATTCTGACTGATTTGAATTCAAAATATTGAATAATTCTTTGAAAACTTCAGGAGCTTTAATCAATTCTAAAAGTTCAAACTGTGCTTCACCTACAAGTTCTGGATTTTGAACATTAATCAGTAATTCCTGTAGACGATTTGTCATTTCTTTTGCTTGAACTTTTAAAAGAATTTTCAAAAGCTCTGTTTGATTTATTGTGTCCAAAAATTTTGGTCGAAATTTTAGATAGTAATAGTAGGGAAATAAAATTCTTCAAAATCTTTCTGAAGCACAAAAAAATTTGTAAAAAAAGTAATTTTTTTTCTTACTTTTTATTCTTCAATGAAACCTATTCCTTTCAAAAGGAAAACAGAACCAGTTGAATTTTCCAAAGGTAAAGAAGCAATCAGAGCTCCATTTTGTCAACATTCATTGAACAAATGGCCACAAATTACTGATCCAAGTCTCGTTTACATTAAAGAAGTCCCATTAACACCCGAATTAGAAGGAGAGTTTATGTCTACATTTTCAACTCTAACCAAAAATTATGCATTCGAAAAAGCAAGTGAATTTGTTATTCGCGATATCAACTCACTGGAAAACTTAATAGATTCTTCAAATTCACCAAAATGCAAGCATATAATTCAATACCCTATTACTTGGGATCCAAATGAATTCACAAGAATATTTACAGATATCCAAACTGCTCTCAAAGATCCAGATGATACAAATAATGAAGAAGAAAACGTATCCGATTAAGTTACACGATCACTTACTACTGTTATTGCAACAATAAGTGAATATTATTTTATATATATATTTGTAAGTAAAAGTTCTATGTTATTTTGAAAGTTTTTTACTTTCTTAGCAGAATTTTATGTATGTTTTGTAAAATATTTAAACAAAATAAGCTTCCTAAGATGGAAATTTAATCGCAAATACATCAAAAAATGAGATATAGGAATCAATAGTGGAACAAAATGCATATATTCATTTACATAACCATGTATGTCACTGCGTAGTCCTTCAATTCCTAAATTGAATTTCCAAAAAAAATTCAAAAATTTAAAAATAATTAGAAGAAATATGAATTTCTAATTAAAATTTGAAAAATAGAAAAAATTTGGAATTAACAACTTGGTCTATAATTTGAGATTGTTCTAAAATATACCATTTTACATATGCAGAACTTGCTAATATTTTATTGATAATTTTTTTCAAATTTTTTTATCACTTTCATGACATTTGTATAAGTGTTTTTCTCTAATAGAATGAATTTAATCTATTTATAGAAAAAAATAATGAGATTGCATCAATTGGAAAATTATTCTTTTGAGGTCGAACTTGGGTAATACAAGGACTATACCTACAAATGCCTACTTATTTTCTTTAGATTATTTTACTTTGACCTTCATTTTTATCAATGTACGAAAATCAAATGTCTTACGACCAGATCAATTTAGCTGATGCTAGTGGACAATCAACCGAGGCACTAAAAGTCCCTCCAAATGCTTTCTCATTATTCTTTAAAGAGCAGCATGATCAATTAACAATCGATAATCCAATCTTATCTGAAAACGATATTTGCAGACAAATAGGTAGAGTATGGCTTTTGTCATCTGATGAATTCAAACAAAAATACAGAGCTGAAGCGCGCAAGCTTAGACTTAAGTTTAAAGCAGATAACCCAACTTATTCAGATAAGCTTTTAAAGAAAAAGAAACCACGCCCAGAATCAGCAAACGAGCCACATCCTATTACTGTTAAAGTTATTATTAATCATGATCAGGTTTCTACAGAAATATTAGGTACATCAGTACCCGCAGATAATTAATAAGGAAATGATATAATCATGTTTACTGAGCTCATATTTAGTTTTGTTTGTACTTTAAAAAGAATTTATTTTATATTTTTTTATTCGGGCATTTAACATATATATCATACCTCGAAGAAATGCATATATTTGGTATGCTTTTGTTGTTGATTGATTTGGAATGACATTGTATGAAATAGATAATTTTATTGGAATCAAAATATATTTTTGTTGGTTTTTAGAGATACAATTCTATGCTGTCCACTTGCTGAAGTAAAAATTGCATATATAAAAGAAAAAAATGAAAAAGATTGCGAAATATAATTTTAAAATAATTGTTATTTTATTCTATAATCAATATATTAATATGATGAAAGTACTGCTTTATTGTTCGTGGTCACGAGATGGGAACAATTCTGGATGTCTCCAGATATTATAAATTTCTGTATTCTTTTCGTTCTTATGTATGATTTGCTTTGTTGTAACACGTAATTTTGCGATTGTTGGCATTGGATCAATCTTAAAGTCGAAGCCTGGAATAACTGAAATTTCATTTCCAGAAATTTTGAGTAATTCGCCATTGCAGCCACAGATCAATCCACCTTGGAAAGGAGCAATACAGAGTGGTTGCAAGTTTGTCTTGATTGTATCGACAACTTTTAATGATTCTGTATCAACTACGTAAACGTTACTACTGTTTTCGTTGATGGCTGCGATTTTATCGTTGAATAAGCAGATTCGTCTGATAATTGTTTGTTCTGTGAATGTTCTTTCTAATTTAACAAAATTACCGTTAGAATCCCACTTGGCGAGCTGTCCATCACCATCTGCAGAAATAAGTTCTCCAGATGGAAGGTAAATTATATCAGAAATAAATTCTTCGTGTTGAAGACCGAATGTAATGATATCAAAAGCATTTGGATACTTAGAAAATCTAATTCTGCCATCTCTATCTGATGTTGCAAGAACTTTATGATCTGGAGAAATTGCGAATGAAGTTGTTGTAGCGATATGGCCCAATAAAAGGTGTGGATTCTTCATATCAGCAATATCATATGCAAATATGTCGCCACCATCGTTAAGAAGAAGGCAATCTTTTCCTTTATAATCAGAAAATGCTAATTCTTCTGCGATTCTTTCGGCTGTAGCCTTGAATTGCTCAGTGATTGTGCCATCCTCTTGATAGTTATAAATAATAATTTCTTTGTTTCTCAATCCAACTGCAATGCGATTTTTATCAATAGCAATTGCGTTTAAATCAGCTTCAAGTTCAGTTTCACTCGATATTTTATTGTTCTTATCTAAAACTGCAAGCTTGTTTGGTGCAATTGTAGCAAAGACATGATTTTCAGTGCAAGCTATCAACTTCGCCATTTATTATGCTTTTCCGTGTCTAAAAATATTGGTACAATTGAATAACGAATTTTATGAGTCCAGACGATGAATATAAAAATAAATATGAAAAAAATGATTAAAGAAGTAAGAGAATTAAAAAATTTCAATAAATTTAATAAAAAATTTGAAATGGATATGATTGTTGTATGGCATGGAAGTAAATAGGATTAATGGCAAAGAAGACGTGGTTACAATTATCAGGGAACCATTGATTATTGGTATTCGAAAAGTATTTCTAAATTATCATAAAAGTTATAAATCAACTTTTAATGTAAAGCACTGCTAGTGTAGTGGTTATCATGAGAGCCTTCCAAGCTTTTGATCCGGGTTCGATTCCCGGGCAGTGCAATCTTTTTTGATTTTTTTTAAAAATTAACCGATTTTTATTGTAAACCTTTGCTTTTATTTGACAAAATATTCACACAATGGAATGTTGAATAAATTTTGAAGAAAGCTAACAAATGTAAACTCCAGTAGGAATGAATTCTAATAACCGCATAGAATAATTTGTGAGATTAATTGAATAATGACTTTTGAATGTATGCCATGACTTTTTGAATGATTCTCACGAAATTTATAGAAATATTGTGGAAATATTGGACTAATAATATTATTTAAAAAGTTTAAATTGAAAAAAAATTCAATTGGATTATTTCTCTTCTCATTTGAAGAATAAAGATGACAGACAACCATGACTTACCTAAGATCACATTGTTTCTAGATATAGATCAGACTATTCTATTTCAAACTTCTTCTTCAGCAAAAGAATTTGATTATAATTTCACCGTTAATCCTTTTGAATACAAAATGAAAAAGCGTCCTTACTTAGACGAGTTCCTAGACTTTTGTGCATCACGGTTTCATGTATATTTGTTTACAGCAAGAGACAAAGAATTTACTTCAAAAATTTTTAATATTCTCAACACTCCAAATAAGCGAATCTTGGACTTCTTCACTATGGATGATTTCAAAAACCGAAGGAAGGATATCCAGATCCTTCAAACACCACTAGAACGTACGTTACTTATTGATGACTGGTCAAGTGCTACTCCATTAAAGAGAAATCTTTATGTAATAAAGCCATACAAGGGTGAAGATGATTCTGAACTAAATAATATGATTCAACTTCTCAAAAAACTGGAATATCAACCTGATATCCGCTATTATCTTCAAAATAATATGCAAGCAAGCAAAATGTCAATTAGTACATCGACACCTGTATTGTTAAACATAGAGTAACATCTTGAAAGCAATGTTAATATATTATCAACTTTGTTTGTTATTAAAAATATATATAGTAATTATAATAATGTTTTTACTCCAGAGTTTAAATGTAAATAATGACATTAATCTAGCATATTCCGTATAATTGAATGTATCGATTTACAATATCATTGAAAGTTTTATTCAGGAGACGTAATTTCATCATATTACATCAAATGAATGTTATTCATGAGATTTTGGTAAAGTCGTAACCGAAATTTAGAATGCGGTTCTAATTTTTATTCAAAAAGAATAATAGAGAGATATCATATTGCTTTATTAATAAACAATTTTGATAATATATATTGGTAAACTAGTACAATATTCTTACATTAAAAATAATTTTGGAGATAATGTAGTAGTTTTGGACCAATCGAATACTCGAGGATTAAACGGGGCCTTTGGTCTGCTAATTTCCGTATGAAAATGAAGAGGATGTATCTTTAGACATCCATAGTGCTTCTGAACTGGAGGGGAGAAGCAAGATTTTCCTTTCTGCATATATTTATTGTCAGTGGTGGAGCCACTATTAGGAGGTTCTGGATCGGCTGAAGAGTCTGCTTCGGACATCAACTTAACGGGTAGCAAACTTTTTCGAATATTGAATTTTTTTTCATAAAAAAATGTGACAATAAGCCCTCTCAAATTCACTCAAATAAAAGTCAATCACCATAGTCAAATCTAATTCGACCAAATATACAAAATTAGGTGTTAAATGTGGCAGTCAAAATATATTTCTCAAAATTATCGTGTTCGTTCCATTCTCAGAATCACGAAGATTTAGAGATATCGTAGTCATCAACTCTAAGCAAAATATATTGCAGCATTACTGATGTTCTAGTATTTCCATGTAGAACATACTGTTGGTATCACCGTCTCTAAATCAATAAGATTTCATTTATTTAAATTATACCAACATACATATATCCGTTGATCATACATTGTGGAGATAAAATATATTTGTGGCATTATGGTGAAATATATTCCATATTTCGAATATTATAATATTTATTATTCCTTAAATCTAGGCAAAAATATATGTGCATTCACCTATTTTCAAATAAAGATTATTATACGATAATAATTTTTGCAAATTATAAAAATATGAATCATAAATAGTTATGTGAAGAAGATATCATGATGTGTGCAGAAGAAATTTCCTTTAGACCGAATAGTTTCACACGCAAAACCCAAGATATATAAAAGAATCAAATTGTATACGTTTTTGGTATAATGTTTTGTTATATGATGAGAAACTTTGAAAGTATTCTTTTTTATACTGTTGAGATGGACAATAAATATCTGAACTCATTTGAAGCTGAAATATGTATGCATCATGCAAGGATATAAATCTCTCTAGAATAAGAAGACAATTGATATCGATTTTGATTCCTTTTGCTGCATTTATCCATCTGAGATTTAGCAATCAAAATTCTAAAGTTCCATAAATAAAAGTTTTATAAAAAAATTAATAACGTTCATGCAACTTGTTTTTCATATTGACCCAGCAGAACTTGGTCCCAGCTCTAATCCAGTAATGAAATGGAGCAGAGACTCGAAATATCTTGCTTGTTTTGGAAATAACGGCAATGTTTTCGTTTTTGATCGAAATGGAAAGAAAATAATGTCGGTACCAATTCCAAATCCCAAATTTTTAGAATGGGACTCACAATCTAAAAATTTGGTAGTTTCAAGCTCAGAAAATACGGAAATATGTATAATTAACGTACAATCAGTCGAAATTAGTCAAGTAGAAGCTCCATTTATACCAACATGGTTACAATGCTCTAAGAGAAATTCTTTTCTTGCAGTTGGATCTGACAAAGGCAAGTTTTGGATTTGTGATTTGAATAGTCATCAATCACAGAACTATCAAGGTACACACGATAATGCCATTGTTGATGGTGCATGGAATTCGAAATCCCACTTAGCACTTTGTTCATTAGATCAATCAATTTCAGTTTCAGACGTTAAAGGAAAAGTTATTGCACGTCAAGATATCGGTGATACACCTATATTCCCACAATTTATTACAGTTGATAGTACTCTTACACTCGTTTTTGCAAGTGCAAACTCTCCAACACTTTATTTCTGGGAATATGTTAATGGAACAGCTCCACAAAAGCTTAAATTCGAGCAAAGTTTGGGTAAAATCATCAAATGCATTACATTAACTAACTCTCTTGTTTATGTTCAATTTAGTTATGGAAAATTCTACCTTGTCAACTTTGATTCAGAAATAGTTGTTCAGCGTCATGCATTTCCATCATCAGTATCATCATCAGACTCGATTCATACTAAAGCTCTCGTTGGATCTGGACCTTCTGTAAAATTAATTAATTTAGATGATCCAAAGAATATTATTGATGAGCAAATTCACTTCCCTAATGATGTTACTGGTGATGTAACCTCAATTTGCCTTTCTTCTGATGGTTCTCTCGGCTCAGTCGCAACAGATGACGGAGTTATCATGATATACTTGGTGGAAGTTCCAATATTAAGTGCTTCCAATGGAACTATTTGCGTTTACAGCCAATCTTTGACTTCTCTCGCGGTTTATGACATGCATAAGAAAACTACTAAGCAAATTAATGTAGATTACCAACCACAGAAGCTTGGAATTTGTCCAAAAATTGCTGCAGCTGCTTTTAACAATAAATGCTTCTTCTATGATACAAAATCCTGCGAATTAATTTCGCAAACTGAACTTTCAACGACGATTGATTCAATTCAAGTTAGCGAAACAGCTTATGCAGTTATGATGAATGGAAAGTTCATGCTAAATTACTTTGATCAGTCAAAGAGACCATTTACATTTCCAGATTTCGATACAAACGCAAGAGTTACAGCTTTTTGTTTAACAGCTCCATTACTTTTATTAGCAACTGATGATGGAACAGTCAGAATCTTCAATGTCCGAAATCAGGCATTTCTTGATGGCTACAAACATCCAAATCCGATAATTTCAATACGAGCAAATGGAAGCGAAACAAGATTTATTTTCATTGACTCTGCTCACGGCATCTTTATCTTCAATCCAATTAAAAGGACCACATTAGAAGTGGCAACTTCAACAGACGGAAAGCAAATTGATGCTTCAACAGCTTTGTTTGATATGCTTGATCGCTCCGTCTTTGCTGTTTTCGCTCCAAAGATAATTGCTGTTTATCATATCACCGACCACAATGTTTCTGGACCAGAACTTAAGCAACTTTGCACTGCAGAAATATCTAATTTAAAGTCTCCTCTCGGCATTTTCGACGGAACTTTAATTTTCCTAGATTCCCAATCTACGGAGCAAACATTTGTTATGCCAAGTCATAACAACATTGGAAGAGATACTCCAGAGAGCGTCAGACAATTACTGACAATCCACAGGCATAGAAAAGCTCTCCAAGTTGCATTGAAAATTGGAGATAAAAGTTTGATCAAAGAAGTTGCAGATTCCGCTTTATCATCCTTGGCAATCGAGATTGCAGCTGATGCATATGCTTGCTGCGGTGATGCATGCAATTACAGCATCTTAAATCCAATCAAGAAAAAAGAAGAATATTCATTTTTGAGAGGATATGTTTCGATGCTAAACAAAGATTTCAATGGAGCTCAGAAGTCATTTTTGGAATCGAGCAGACCAGAAATGGCTTTAGACATGAGATCTGCTCTATTGCAATTCGATTCCGCTCTTCAACTCGCTGAGAAATTCGATCCATCTCGAATTCCTCAACTCAGTTACGAAAGTGGTCGCCAGAACGAATTAACAGGCAATTATTCACAAGCCATTCAGCAATACAAAGCAGCATTGACGACTCCTGAATTGAAGAAAGAAAGTAGATCAGGAATTATCAGATGCATGATTTTGGCAGGAAAGGTTGAACAAGGAATGAAACAACTTGAGAAAACTAAAGACACAAATTTAGTTACAGAATGCGCAAGAATATTAGAGAGATTATCAGCTTTCTCGCAAGCAGCGCAACTGTATTCTCAAGTCAGCCAATTCAACTTTGCCGCACAATGTTATGTTCGCGCGAATGACTTGAATTCTGCTGCAAATTTAGTTCCAAAAGTCGATGACTCGAAAGTTTTGGTTTCTATTGGTAAACAATTAGAAAGAGCTGGCCAATTAGAAGCTGCAACAACAGCTTTCGAACGTGCTAATGATTGGGAATCATTAGTCAGAGTTCTCCTCAAAGTCAATCTCGACAGAGCAACAGCAATTGCTCGTGCACATCCAACAGCAGATGCTTGCAGAGCTGTTGCAGAACATTGCATACAACTCGGCAATTTCAGATACGCAATAGAGTTCTTGATCATTGCAGGAAGAAACGAAGACGCATTTAGAATTGCGGAATTGCACCAGAAGATGGATGAATTGGCCGATTTAATTGGCGACAATGGAACAAAGCAACAATACGATGCTTTGGCAACATATTTCTCTGCAAGAAATGACAATATTTCTGCAGCGAAATTCTATGCAAAGAGCGGTGATCCAGAACGCGCAATGAACTGCTACATGGCTGATGGAAGCCCTGAAGCTTTGGATGGTGCTTTGGATCTCGCAGAAAAGGTCGAAAACAAGACAATCAGAGATATGTTATTGGACTATTTGTCAGCGAATGTTCAATCGAAAGATTTGAGATATCTCTTGAGAATGTTTATCATCATGAAACAGTTCAACGAAGCCGCTGTTACAGCCATGAGAATAGCTGATGATAAAAGAGAAAGAGGCGAATACAGGCAGTCAAGAGATATCTTATTTGATATCTATTGCCAGCTTGAGAAACACAATCAACAGATTTCAAGTGAAATGAAACAAAGTTTGATGATCATTCACTCGTATTTGTTGATTAAACCAATGAAAGAATATGATAGAACTATTGCTGCTTTCTTGCTTAGAAGAGTTTCCAAGTTTGCTTCTAAGTTCCCTCAACACGCTGCAAATATTTTGGCATCAACAGTTGTAGAATGTTCGCGTGCTGGATACAAGAAATCTGCATACGAAGCTGCAACAAAATTAATTTCTCCTGAATATGAAGGAAAGATTAATCCAGATTTGATGAAGAAGATTGTTCAAACAGTTAGACATAAGAATACATCTGAAGAGGCTGAACCTACAACTCCATGCCCTGTTTGCGGTGCTGATATTCCTATCTCTGAATTGTATTGCGCTTCTTGTAAGACTAATATTCCTTACGATGTAATCACAGGTATGCACATGACAAAGAATGACTGGTGCCAGTGTCCAAACTGTAAGTTCCCATCTTCCCACAAGTTAATGTGCGAAATAAAGACTTGCCAGATTTGTGGAACTCACGTAGAAACACCTGAACTAATACAAAATCCAAGAATTGTATAAATAATTGAATTTATTTGATATAATTTTTTTAAAATTTTTTAATAAAATTCATCTTCGAAAATGTCATATAATGAAAGAGAACCATCATATGTAGGAACATTATTATTTTGCACCATAGGAAATAAGAAGTTCAGCTATTTCTTTATTATTATTTAATGTTGCGAGATAAAGAGGAGAATATCCATTTCTATCGATTTCATTAACATTTGCACCATGTAAAAGAAGAATTTTGACAGTTTCTTTACTACGGTTAATTGCTGCATAATGAAGAGCGGTTTTTCCATCATTGTCTTTTTCATTAACATTTGCACCATGTAAAAGAAGAACTTTGACAGTTTCTTTACTACGGTTAATGGCTGCATAATGAAGAACGGTTTTTCCATCATTGTCTTTTTCATTGATATTTGCACCATGCGAAAAAAGAACTTTGGCAGTTTCTTTACTATGGCTAATTACTGCATAATGAAGAACGGTTTTTCCATCATTGTCTTTTTCATTGATATTTGCACCATGCGAAAGTAGAAATTCAGTCATTTCTTTACATTTACAATGCGTTGCAATTTGAAGAGCAGCATTTCCATGATTATCTTTGTCATTGACATTTGCACCATGCGAAATAAGAAGTTCGGCCATTTCTATAAAAATATGATACATTGCAATATGAAGGGCTGTTTGTCCATTATTGTCTTTCTCATTAATATTTGCACCAAGTGAAATAAGAAGTTCGGTTATTTCTTTACAGTTATTACGTGCTGTAATATGAAGAGCTGTTTGTCCATTTTTATTTTTCTCATTGACATTTGCACCAGGTGAAATAAGAATTTCTGTAATATTATAATTATGATATGCTGCCCTATGAAGAGCGGTTTCTTCATTTTTATCTTTTTCATCGATATTTGCACCATGCAAAAGGAAATATTTACAAAGGGATGGAATTCCAAGGTTCAATGAATTAAAAAAACAATATTGAACATGATTAATTTGATCGTAATAAACTAAAAATGCCTCAAGATTATTATACTTGCAACAATATAATAAACCTATCTCTAAATTGTATTCATTCATCAAGAATGTAACAAAATCAATGTTGTGTGAAATAATTGCAAATTCCATACATTTTTATTTGGCTTTTGATATTTCAAACATTCACTCATTATATCTGGATTTCCTCCTAAAAATGAAAATTCTAGACATGTTTTAGTAATATTTGATTCAAATTTCGTTCTTAATAACTTGAAACAATCAACTGCTCCATAATAACAACATAATTCAAGTAATGAATATCCGCCGACAGTAAATGGATACAAATCGCTAATGAATATTTGACCTTCATAAAATCCTTCAGATTCAATGAATGAGATGAATTTTTCTTTGCTATTATACATAATTGCTCCGCATTGTATATTCTGAAGGAATTTTCAAATATTCTGAGTTAATTTTTTTGAAATCATCAGATTTGTCTAATTTAATTCCATATTCATTATAAAACAGATAGTTTGGAATACATTCAACATTGTTGACCTCTTCCACATGATATTCATCAGATATGAGTTTGGCAAGAGATAAATATGACTTTGTATAACGATTATTATACCAGATTATATATAAAATGTCTCCTATAATCCTTTTTGGTGGGTATTTCTTTGAATCAATCAATTCAGTCTTGATCATTTTGTAAATCGAGTTTAAATCTCTGACATTTTCCGTTTTTAACTGATACAACGCATTAAATGAATCAATGTAATATTTATAGATATTTCTTAATTCACTGTATTGATTTGGATGAATGTCTTGATTGGCCATTAAAAATTTTAAATGTAATTTATTTTAAATTTGCCAACGTAAATTTTAAGATTCATAGGTTTGCACTCTTTGAACTTTTAAAGTTCATCAGGAGAAAATAAAAGATTATGCTATAAAAAAAAAAAAAAAAAAAAAAAAAAAAAAAAAAAAAGGCAGTGGGGCTTCCAGGCACTTCGTGCCCTCTAGCCCCGAAGATGTTTAGTATAAATGAAGTTTTTATTCGGAAAATTGTTAGTCTTCTGGTGTGAATTCGGAGGACTCTTCTTCTTCCTCCATTGCTTCTGGGAAGAAGCCTTCTTCTGGGTCGAAAACATTATATAATGTGTCGCTTTTCACAAATTATATATGTTTTCATGTTTTGTCACTTTTCTGTCACTTTTCAGGGAAAAAACATTTTTATTATATATAAAATGAATTTTACAAAACCACCGCTACCCTTCTTTGGAAATAAGAGTAGATGTAAAGATATTCTATTGAGAGAACTTAAGAAACTACCGAATGGTCTAACATTTGTAGATTTGTTCGGTGGAAGTTTCTATATATCTCATTTGTGCCATACTGTATTTCCTGACTCAAAGATTATATGCAATGACTTCGACAACTATATGGACCGTCTCAAACATATTCCAGACACAAACAACATATTGAAAGAGTTAAAAGAAAAGATACCTATAGGTAAGATGGAACGTATACCATTAGATAAGAAAAATATTGTGAGAGAGGTTTTTGAAAAAAAGCAGAATATATAGACTGGGATAGTATATCTGCTAGACTATTATATAGTGGTTCTATAAGAGTTCATGACATTGAAACACTTATGTCAAAAGTTTTATATCTTAACTATACAAATGTTTTCAAAGAGGACATAGAAAAATATATTGAGGGTATAGAGTTTGTGAGATGTCATTGGACAGAGTTGTATGAAAAAATAAAGACAAGGAAAATGTTTTCTTTATAGTGGACCCGCCGTTCTATAACACATGGGATTTTCAATACCAAGTAGACTGGACTTTGAGAGACTCTTTAGAAACTTTAGACGTTATACATAACCATCCATGCTTTTACTTTACATCCGATAAAAGTGGTTTGGAAACCGTTATGAGATGGTTAGAGACATACATGACTATGAGTTTAGATATGACAAGATAGAATATGAGAGAGGTCCTATAAACCGGAGAAAGTGTCATAACAAAGAAATTTATTAGTAAGTAAATGTGGTTTTGAAATAGGACTACTTGTTTTAGGTTTTTTCCATGTGTCATTTACTTATTTGACGTGGCAGAAAGATATAGAGAATATGAAGATGAACCAATGCCTGCAAATGTTCAGTATATATGTACTCGTAAGAGATATTTTATCTAATATTAAATGGACGCACAGAACTTAGCGACGATGCACAGCAACCTGGACAACAAAACCCAGAGAATATTCCAAATGAAGTTAGAATACAAACTGCAATGGCAAACTATGGTCAAGTGCCAACAGATGTACAAATGCAAACTGCCATGTCAAATGACGCTGCGTTAGGTTTGCCACCATGGTATGCAAATATGAGATGGAAAGAGTTTTATACAAACCCTGAAGTGGGATATAAACAACTTTATGCAGATGACGCGAACACAGGAGTTGACCCAGAATATGTTTTCTACCAGAGGAGAAACAGAATGTATGAGCTCCAGTTAAAGAATGCTATGGAACTCAACAGGAAACGTAAGAACTAGGTGGACATTAGATTTTTTACATATAGTAAAATGGGTTTCTTCAGTAGTATTGGAAACTTCTTTCGAAATGTTGGAAGAGGTATATGGAATGGAATAAAAACCGTAGGAAGGAATTTGGAACGGAGTCAAAAAAATTGGTAAAAGAGTAGGTCAGTTCGTTGGTATTATACCTAAAGACCCTGAACCAGAAGAACAAGCTCCTGTTATACAACAGCCTGAACCTGCACCACAGTCTAGTTGGCAACCAAATCCAACACCTCAACCGTATTAAAAAATTATATTTTTACCGTTCGATAGTAGTTGTATATGAAACTAAGTTCTAAGTAAAACGCATGGTATAATGGAATTATTCTTTTTCTTCCATCTGTAGTAAACCATACTTGAAAGTCAATACTTCCACTTGGTGGTTCGTATAACTTTGTAGGTTTTCGTAAAAGTCATTTGCCAAGCATAAAAAGAGTTTTGGGCGCCAGAAAATGAAGCATGAACAATAATAGCAGCTGGGTCGAAAACATCTTTAAATAAATATGGTTCATCTCTTGCATATCGACTGTAAATATTTGCTAAAGGAAGTTCGACTTTCTGATTTAACATTCTTTGCAAATAATACCATGACATTGCAGTGAATTCTGTATATATTTGTTCGTCTTTCTTTGGATTGTCTTCGTAGATTTGAAATGACACTTGTGAATTTTGTTTGTCATATACAATTCTCACATAAAGTGTGCTCTCGGTATTTGCATATTCATCAGCATATTTTGCATAACATGAATTTATTTTATCTTCTATATTTTTTAACGCAGTCTGTAGAGAAGATGAAAGGTCAACTTGTATTAGCTCAATTTCTTCCCACATTTTTCGTTTCCCTTCAGATATATAATCTATATGAAACCTTACAATAAATGGAAAACTTTTATCTTCTACAGACACAAACTTCATTCTACGAAAGCCAATAGCTTTTGTGACAGATGGGTCTCTTAACCATCTTAATGGGTAGTCAAAACGATTAGCCTTCATGCTTTACGGTCTCTGTCTCAAACTTTTGACCGACATTAGTAAAAAGTTCATCTAATGGTTTAGTTGTAGCAACTCTTGAATTTTTTTTCTATTGAAGCTATTTTATCTAGAATAAAAATGTCAAATGAAACAGCGTCTATGAGAGAAATAAAACACAACCGACAACTCATTATACAAGCTCTAAATAAGAACACAACAAACTTTTCAAACTATTCTAAGATATCAGTCATTGAAAGAAGGAAACTTAAAACTGACATTAAACCCATTGACAGACGAGTTTCTATTTCAAGACAGTAAGAACCATACTGTTTGTATAAATCCAACAAAAGGAACTTTAAACGAGAAACCTATAGATGAACTTCTTTTGAAAGCAGATGTTGACAACAAAGCTGACAAAGAGTATGTAGACGATGCAATAGCAAAAGAAGAAGAAAGAGCTAACAAAGCTTATGCAACGAAAGAGGATGTTGAAAAGAAAGCAGATAAAACATATGTTGACGATGAGTTAGCATATCTGGCTAGTGGGTTAGTGAAGAAGGCAGATAAGGAATATGTGGATGAAAAAGATGAAAAAATTAAAGAAATGGTTGAATGGTACCATGAACGGACATCGAAGATTTTAGAAGGTAAAGCCAATACAGGGTGGGTTTCAGGATGTTTAGACCTTAAAGCCGACAAGAACCATACACATACCATTGCAAATATTACAAACTTACAAGAAACCTTAAACAGGAAAAGTGACGTTGGACATACACATACCATTGCAAATATTGCAAACTTACAAGAAAAGTTAGATGACAAAGCTGACAAGAACCATACACATACAAGTTTTACAACTGTTGCTATAGAAAGTATTGAAGGAACGGTTGAAGAAACTGTGGGATGCATTATATTGTAAACCTCCTAACTTTCCACAAGGTTTAACATCGGATGACGACATAACGACGATGAGAAACATTAGATGTAAAGATGTTTATGTCATGAAGGATGAACATAATATTAAATTCACTGCTCAAGATTTATATGACAAGAAAGCAGACAAAAACAGAGCTTCAAACATTAAAGACAGAAATACTTCAAACATTATATCCTATAGGCTCTATTTATACGTCAATGAACTCTACCAGACCAGAAGTAGTACTTGGTTTTGGAACTTGGACTCAAATACTCGAAAGTTTTTTGTATTGTGCACACACTCCAAAGAAAACAGGTGGAAGTAAAACGATATCTGTCGACAACTTGCCACCACATAGTCATTCTGGTACAACAAACTTTTCTGGCGACCATAGCCACTCATTAAGAGACCACCCATTATACAACTCAGAGTATGAAGCTGGCTATGACGTTTTATCTCCAGATTATAACCATTCAGCAAAAAAGACTTTTCGACAAAACTGAACCAGGAGGAAACCACCAACATACTTTTACAACAACATCTACAGGACTAGGTAAAAAATACATGCCACCTTACATGACAGTTTGTGCATGGTATAGAAATGCTTAGTCGTCATTTTCAACTTCTTTAGCATATTCGTCAGGAGTTGTCTTATATTTGTTAGGAACTGTCTTTGA